ACCCTGACCCTGACCCTGACCCTGACCCTGACCCTGACCCTGACCCTGACCCTGACCCTGACCCTGACCCTGACCCTGACCCTGACCCTGACCCTGACCATGACCCGATCAATTGATCCCTGTGTAATTACATGGGGGGTCAATTGTCAGGGGGTCACTTGTCGGGGGGTCAATTTTCGGGCGGTCAATTGTTGGGGGGTCAATTGTCGGGCGGTCAATTGTCGTACTAAGCCCTAGATTTCGTGACAATTGACCCCAGTGTAATTACATAGGGGGTCAATTGTCGGGGGTCAATTGTCGTACTAAACCCTAGATTTCGAGACAATTGACCCCAGTTTAACTACCTAGGGGGTCAATTGTCGGGAAGTCAATTGTCAGGGGGTCAATTGTCGCGGTACCTATTTAAACATCCAGTTCTTTGTCCTCAAGAAACAATTTCTCGGTCGGTTGACGAAGGTTTTGACTTAATCTGAAGAACAGAAATATGTTCATATTTTCATCAGCTGCTATGAAGATATCATGAACACTATCTTAATAACAAGTGAAATATGATCTCTTTTGTAAGCATATTGTCCAGGACAATTGAGGTCATCATTACATGCTCATTGCTCCTGTAGCCTTCTCTTTTAATTAGTTTTCCCAAGGTTTGACACTGGTCTGTAGTTTTTCAAGACATCTGGAAAATGATCTTCATCGATTGGGGATAACTGGTGTGATGTAAAAAAATAATTGTGGCTTATGATACCAGGGAAATGTAGGTGTCAGCTAAACCCTCGATTTTATGTTTAAATACATTGTATTTATCATAAATATCATATCATATATATATACAGTTACACTGTGTAGTGTTATCCTTTATTAAATAATTGTGGACACTGGCTGATAATCAGTGAAGGCAGAATCGTGGATTATACCTGATAACTACTGGTGGTGTTATGGCTATTAGAGGGTTGTTAGAGGACTGGGCTATTACCGTAACAGCTGGCTACTAGCCTGGTGTTAGAGGGTTGTTAAGATTTTTGGGAGCACAGATACTTAATAGTAATATATCTTGTTTGGATGTTTGAACTTTTCGATTTGTATCTCGAAAGTTATGTTTAACTTCCCCACGCAGTGTTTTAAATGTATGATATTGTAAGATTTATAATGTCATTATTTTATAGCTCCTCAAAGGATATTGTTCTTATCCACGTAGGAATCAAGTGCTCATTTTGATTGAGGTGGCAATTTGAAGTTGCAGCCCAAGATTTTATTGATTTTAATGTGGTCTATTCTTGATAAAAATATATTGCGCTACTCTTCGTTTAAACTACTTTAGCTTTAAACTGTTTAGGAGATGATTTGAAGCGGTGCTACAATCTACAGTGGTCGGTGGACAAGTGTGATGGACACCAGAGCCAGATGCTTTAGTTCACACTATGACTGTGACTGATGTACCTCTGCAACAAACTGACTGTCTTACTTGTAACCTGGTTAGTTAATATTAGTTATTCTTAATTGTGTACCTTCAAGCTTTCCTCCACAATTACAACCAACTTAGAAGCAATGATTTATTGTCAGTATTTTTTATTATTGAACAGACTGAGCCTTGTGCTCCTATTACCTTAGGGCCAATAAATTTGGTTGACAATAAATTTGGTTACCATAATTTTGAAAATTTTTAGTCTACAACAATTTTAGTCACATTTTTCGACTTTTTGAAACCATTTTCCATTCCATTTATTTGATTTTTCCATTATTCACAATTAAGAATGATTTCACAAACGTCGTAAGCATTACTTTAAAGTACAGGGGATCTTCGATATTATGCAGGTTTGGTGGGATTAAATTCTAAAATCAAGGTCTTATAACTCGATAACACGTTGCCATGGCCCCATAGCAACCACAATCAGTGCCCTAGCAACCGAGGCAAATTTGGGTGATTTACCTAATTAATCCTTGGTACTGTTTCACAATTTTAATCATCGTCAATTCACTAGCTCACTGTTTATGCAGGTCTTTCCAAAGTAAATTCCAAGGAAAAAGTTATGGTTTGGTGTGCCATCAGCCATATAGGACCATGGAATAAATTGCCCATATTTCTTCGAGAAAAATATAACTCAAAATTAGCCATTAAACCTTAGAACTACCAATAACTTTTCACAAAATCAAGTTTAGACAAGTCATTTGTCTAAACTGCAGTTTACTTTTGTAGTAGCTGATCCTAGTCGGCAATCCTAGTGGATAAAGAGTTATTCAAAAGTATATCCTTGCAATATTTTTGAACACCCTGTAGTCTGTACGCTCCGAAATCTGATTTAATACTTCAACTCTGATATCATCCAGTGCAATGCGATATGCTAATATTTGATTGTAGGAGACTCTCACTTCGTCCCCAAAAATGAAATATGATGGACCCACTCACAAGAGCGAAAAAAGATACACATTACTGTAATGTTTATAAAACACTTTTATGTGCTCGTGCAATGTGTTTATTTTCAAAAACTGTAACATCGCTCAATCAAAGCCTTATCAGCACAACACGCACAATCACATAATATATCATCAACTTGATCTCAGCGCATCATAATAACAACCACTCGCAAGGACTGTTACCGCTCACTTCAGACACACACACCCACTACACAGTACCACACACAGCCTGCACAGAGCTCAGCAATCAATTCTAAACGGCTAGCTGATTTTGATAAAATAACATCGTGATCCGGCGTGATCAATTATTTTAATTGAAGTACAACGGCTGCACCCCTGACTTTTTAACTAAAGATAAGAGACGTATATATTAGGACATTTGTAATCTGATAAAATTTAAAGTTTTGGTGTGTGAATTAAAGCTTGGTGTGAGAATTAGTGTGGAAATAAAAGAGATATTTATTTTATTACCTATATCATATATCTTAATTAAGTGACAGTATTATTATTTTAACTACAGATTATATCATTTCAGTTAGTATCGACATGAATGTTACGATTGCAGTTTTATTTATTTTTATATTATATTGTATTCAATAAACCGGTTTCAAAGCCCTTTAGTGTGGCCCTCGGGTCTTTAAAACATAATAGGTGAGGTCATGTGGTACCGACATGCTTCAGAGGACAGAAAGAGACTCAGAATTTTAACCACAAGTCTAGATTCTTTTCATAAATATAGACTTGTGGTTACAATTCTGAGTGTTTCATACTATTATATCACAGAATTTTCCTGCTGTTGAAATATTGACAGAAAGGAAAGGTGTTTAGAAGTCGAATTGCTACAACTTCAGAATTCAGATTGCATAACAATTGTATAACTTCAGATTGGAGGACGGTCTAGGGAAGGATATAGGAATTAAGCTTACTTCACAGCTATACTCTGCAAAAGTACCTTCAGCGAATAAGACGTCAACATCCATCTTGTTTATATCAATGATTGTGGACATTACTTTTGTATTCTTTGTAATTTAATTCTCTGACGTTGTATTCTCTTAATACATTGCGTTTGCTAAAATTCTTGTGTGTAAGCTTTAGAACTCTAGATGTCAAACACAGATTTACGGCCAAGTGTCAACCCGGGGTTTGAAGCACGTTATACTAGTTTCAACTTTTATCAGACTGATCCATCGATTTCAGCTATGACATTTTTAGTTCTGATTAAACAAATGGTTTTTATTACATTGTTAATTACATTAAAATACAGTTTGATGTTTAAAACGGGGCATATGAAAGTTTTTTATCTTGTAAAACCTCGCCTAATCGACGAAGTTACAGTCAGATCGAAAATTAGAAATAGCTTATTTTTAAAAGCAGCTGAAAGTGCTATTTTCAGAACCTGGTGGATATTAGTCTAAAGATTCGTTGGAATTTATTACACTGACCATGACATAAGATCCAAATTCCAAACTGGGTGTTAGGGAAATGCGGCGGACTAAATGTTATTTTACATCTTCCCCGTCACTGATCACTGTCACATTTAAAGCTGCAAATGGTGTATTTGTTATGCCAACTAACACCAGAACAAACAGAGAACTTGTTAAAGTTCAAATTTAGCCCCGTAAAACTCAATGTATGTTATGTAACGGCTAATGTAATGTTCTTACAGGATCGTTGACATATTACGTAATCACGTCCTGAACAACGTTTAATTTGACCCCCCCCCCCCCCTCTCGGTGATTCCGTATTATGTGAACGACCCCTAATATGCTTACATCGAGGTAGTGCTTACTGATTTATAGCAACATTTATCATAGCAGCTTGTTTTTAAATCACTGTTTCTTATGATACAAGTTCCGTTACCATTCGTATCACACATAGTAATAAATTACGTATAGTAGTATTACTCGTCGGGAAAAACCCTGGTTCTTTTTGTAGTAATTGTGCGGAACGCGCTTGCGCCGAATCAAAAATATGTGTGAAAGTTTTTCTTGCGCGCATTTACTGTGACATAATGTGTCACGTGATAATCTGAAACTTTGAATAGTCATAACACCAAGAGATAGGCAACAGAGGTAAATCTGGCTACGTAATATCGTCAAGTAGGTATCTAGGAGTTTTGTGAATATTTTGAAATCAAATTCGAGCGGGTATTTTGTGATTTAGCGAGGTGCGCGGAAAAAAGCAAATAACCGTCAGCACATGGCTATACAGCCTCCATAGTGGCATCTGAGATCGGCTATCGATGCGGCACTACTTACTAGTCCATAAAACAATCATCCCAGGAGCCTAGGGGCTCCAGCAGAAGAGTGCCTTATTTGCCCGTAAGAGCCTCTACTATTGGCGAGTCGAAAATTTAGTGTGGATTTTTAGCATACTCACATTTTTAGTTTTCAAAAAAGTCCTCACGTAACAACCCAAGTACCCAAGTAACAACTTTATTTCTGAGAGCGGCCGACTCCTATTTAGTTTCACGTACACGACAGTTGGTGAGTTGGCCGCGCCAAGCATTGCATTCTGGAGACTTCGTGCGCGCCTGTGACAAGTGCTATTTATCAGGATTATCAGATTCGGCGTCCGCGTTACCCTACCTTTATCAGAGTTTCGTGCTCATTTTTAGCAGCTTTATCCTTGTCACCCATTTTTGCCACCACCTTTCCAACTTTATCGATATGGTTGTTCAGATATTCGATGTCCTTCAATCTTAGTTCGTGGAAGATTGTCTCGGTGTCTCGAAGGGGGTCAACCTGCAAATCACTGGAGTTATAGCTGCTGTTGTAAGGTAATAAAAAAGTAAAGTCATTCAAGTAAACCATATAATTTATAAACCAGGTAAGATCGAGAATTTACGTACATCCCCGTCGATATGGGTTACATCAGGGTCATCGAAAACTCGCATCATGCTGAAAATGGCGTCACATCCTCCGATGTGGGAGAGGAAAGCATTCCCAAGACCTTCACCCTGAAATTTTAAACATAATCAGTCTCAAGCTTTGGTTAAGGTTCAAAAGTTCATACATGATAAGCACGAGGTTAAACACGAATAGCACAAAAATGGGGAAAGTTCATACTTCGCTTGCTCCTCTGACAAGACCGGCAATGTCCACAATAGATAGGTAAGCTGGAATTTTAGAAGGGGGTTTGAAGTGGTCACAGAGCCAATCAAAACGTTCGTCAGGTACTGCCACTCTGCTCTCATTCGGATCTATGGTACAGAACGGAAAGTTTTCTGCAGGAGCACTCTGCGATGGTTAGGTGGTTATCATGACAATGGTTAATGGTTTAATTGTTCAGCTCACAATGGATATCAGTGGATCAACAAGGATTTGGGATAGTCTTTAGTTAAAATTCTTGGATTCAGTGAATGGCATGGTCCCCTTGTCCCCTAATCCCTGAATCTTCAAGATTCAATCTTGTTGCTCTATTCTGACAAAAAACAGAAGCTTGCGAGGCCTCAATGAGTCTAACCTGTTTGCATAGTACGTTGAAGAAAGTACTCTTGCCAACATTTGGGACACCTACAATCCCGATCTTAAGGGATGTCCCGAATCGTCCCAAGTACATGGGCGACTGCTCTTCTTCTACCTTCTTCTTTGGAGGCATGGCAACGACTAAGGTCGATAAAGAATTAATTTGACGTGATCCAAGGAAACTATTCTAGACAGTCTTCTGTTATTTTGTAAAGATAATAATTGTTAGTTTACAATAATATCGATGAATAGTTATAATTCTAAACCCAATTTTATTTTAAAGCTAGTTGGTTGATAATCTATTTCACTATAATCCTACATCGAAGACGATGATTGAGTGCAACCCAAACTATTATGCAAATTTCCTCTCATCACTTGTTTTTCTGGTAAGTATTTATTTTTCACTGGTAAAAACAATTTGTGAAATAATATAGAGTCAACATCCTAAAGACAGAGATCGAAAGTAGACATAACATCAAAAACATAATTTCTGATACCTTAACAGCTTAACGATGTGCAATTAAACCAAATCAGATAAGCCAAGTTATATGTTTTATATGTTTTTACTTTAAACTTTAAATAAGTGAAACTTTAAAATAGCTATTTCAGTTGGTTTTTGGTTTTGCCTGGGGGCACATTTCCCAATCACCTAAGAAGCTCTTAAGGATATTGAACAAAATGTACGCGTACATTGTGCTGCCAGCATTGGCCCTTGTTGCCCCCATATCTATCAGAAGATCAATGCCATTATGGTCACCGCCCAATGCTACAGATCCCATTCCAGTGGCTGATAATGCTATAATCAAGATACTTCTTATCGATCTCATTGTCAAGGTACTTATAAAATTTCTACATTTCTTTCCCATTTTAACCACATTATATTTGACTATATAAGAGTAAATTCATCAATGGAACAATAAGTTTTCAATGAAACAAGCAAAGTACATTTTAAAGCATTTTAACATTATACTATTAACTCATTATAACCAGAGTTCTCTATGGGTTGCTGTTGTGTTAGCACTTTTGGTAACATTCCGGGACAAAAAGATCTTAAAAACGGCTGGCTTAGCTGCTCAGTTTATCATACATGGAAACGACATTGGATTTTCAAAATCTTTGTGTAAGTAATTACTTGGCTTAGGCCTTAGTTGTTAGTAAACAATCTCCTTACCAAGGCTTTTACAGAAACAATTGAGTGTTTTATAATTCTTCAGTGATCATGATAATAGTATTTCAACTTTGGGTAATTTTGATCACATAATTGGAATGCATTGAATCGAGAATTGGACGTTAAAGGTGTTCCACCCATAAATTATGATTATGTAGTTTCAATAATACGATCTTCTAATTTATCAATATAATCTTACAACACAGTGGAAGTTTCCTGTAGATGGGTAAACTTAACCAATCCAACTGGGCACTCTGACAAGGTTGACTTCATGCCTATTGAAGTTCCCACAAACACTATGTGTTTTCTCATCTTTCTTCCTCTAACTAATGGATTGGTAAGTAATGCTTCATTTGTAATTCTCAATTGCAATAGTAACCAACGATTACAAATAGCAGACATTTTCTGGTGGAAAAGAAAACCATGAAATCATCATGTCTGGGATGTGTATTTGACACATTTATATTTAGGTTGGAATGACTGCACAAAACACGCCAACTGTTAGGGGATTTCTCAGAAATGTCTTCAAACAAATGGTTAAATTTGGCTTCTCTTACATTTGTCTTATCACAGGTAAGAGAACTTTATACATTCAAGCAAGACTACAAAAAAAGATTCTCAGCTGCATGATGATCAAATTAAATTACCTAGATCATTACAATTTTATACTATTATTGGCCCCACATAATACACAATGGAGGATCTGTTACTGTTACAGTGTTACATCCCCTAGCCCCTAAGTCTACTGTTTCATGTCCTGGATACATCTATACATCTGTTTGTAAAGGCCAATTTTTATTTTTTTAAGTGTGGATCTCAAGTCATGGTATCAGTTGTTGGTAAAATGTAGCAAACTACAAACTACTCATGGGATTAGTTAGATTGAATCTAAAGTTACATGGGATTAGTTGATTGGCTAACCAGCTAATTTTTAATTTCAGGTATTGTTATTGCAATTACGTCCCCTCATAATGTGGAGAAATTGTCATCCTTTGAAGACATGATAAAGATGCTCGAAACAGTGCTAACATTGATGTGTGGGGTTTACATATACTATTTGGTTATGAATTGTACTTGGGGCGCCGTGAGCATACCAAAGACATTAGCCTTGACAGCAGCAGTCACGTAAGTTGTCACTTGTCTGTTGTTTTAAAACCTGAACACCACAATATTCCTTCTGAATCCCATAACTTGTCAGAGGGCTCAGTTTTCCAGTTTTAAGAAGATCATTTACAAAGTTAAGATTTCGATATAGTTTTGATTGAAATAAATTTTCGTGCACATACAGAATGAATGGTTAAGGGGGCAGGGGGGGGGGGGGGTCTTTATGAAATTTCTCTCGAAATTGATTTTATAGTTATTTCTGATAGAGGGCAGTGATATCTACCAGATGTTTTTGGTCCCATGGAAAAAGTTTGTTCCTAGCTGAAATTATTCATGTGTAACCTCGAAAAATCATCAAAAAACGAGGTCCAAGATTTTCAAAATCGAATAAAAAATTTTTAAAGGCCTATCTCAAAATTCCATCCGGCTTATCTCTTCTAAATGGTCCCTAGAACATATCCTGAAAGTTTCAGAGTGATTGCTCAAAAAATGTAGGAGGAGATAGATTTTTAGAGTCGATTTTCAGGACGCGCGATCAAAAATCCCTTGCGCAATACAATTACACACAAGCGCTGACCTTTGACCGGCAATAATTTCGGCTAGGAACAATATTTTTCTATGGGATTAAAAGCATCTGATAGACATCACTCCCCTCTATTAGAAACAACTAAAAAATCGATTTTGAGAAAATTTCCATGAGGACCCCCCCCCTGCCCCCTTAATAATTTAATATATATAAAGACCAAGCTCTGTGCACGGGATGCTTCCTGGAAGAATCCAGTTCTTTTAGCGGGGCACCCTACCTAAAGCCAAATTGAGATATAATAATCATATTCCTAGGGAAATAATCAGAAATCGAATACCAATCAAATAATATGATATATAGGAGTAGTAACCATATTTACTATGCAAAATGCCCCAACCACATTGTGTAAATTTATATAAAATTCAAATTCCATATCATCATTAAACCTCAATAGTCAATATAAAAGCCCAAGCAAAATTAAATAACTTCTTATATACCTTACTGTCATACTACAAATTAATTAAACATTTGAAATCTGTTAACCAGAGAATAAATTTCTAAACCTAATGCAAGTGAAATAATTTAGATGCAATAATGAATGCCTAATGTGAGTATCATCTGTCAATGTCCTTGTAAAACAGTCTGTACAAAAACAGGAAGTTGTCGTCTTTTGAAAAATAAATAAAATATCTAGAATATAGATTAGAATATAAAATAACATTCAGTCAATGTGTCGTCAATAAACTGTACAATTATCAAATGTTAAAACTGGGTGATACAGTCACCAAAAATAAATACTAAGTATAACAAGTTAATAAATTAAATGTGGTCTATAAAACTACCACTAGGTATAATAGGTCAATAAATTAAAAGTGGTTTATAAAACTACCACTGTGCGAACCCCTTCTCCAGTTAAAACATGTCAGTCATGTGAAAAATCAATCAGAATGGTAAGGTGGTAAAAAAGGGAATATCCTTTCGATACATCAGTTATATATACCTCAGATTTAAAAGAATTAGAAGATACTTAGTTATCGTCGACTATGATTGCAGTGTAATATTTGTCATATGAATTGTCGACGGTATAATTAGGGTCTGTTGTTATAGATGAGAGTAGCTGTTTCTTATACGAATCACTAAAGCTTTTAACATCGGGCAGATTTCGTAGATCTGTTGGAACATTATTCCAACATTTTGCCCCCAAGTTTATGTGTATTTGAAAGAATGTAATATGAAGTAATTTTATAACTTGCTCCAGATGCTTCATAGCATCTTGAGATTAACTTAATATAAAAGAATATCAATTATTTATAAAATTGATTAAAATAATTTACCCTAGGGTTATCTACCCATGTATGCACTATGTAATCTACGAATACTGGACAAAAGAAAAGCATATTCACGATCACGAATTTGTGATTCTTGGCCATGCCTCAACACCCTCGAGTATTTACATTCAAATCTATATTCTGAAACATATCAGATGTCCAACAAACTACATTGCTGCTTTTCTACTGACTAATGTGTTTGGGTAAGTATTAATTAATGAGTTTAGTCAAAATAAAAATAAGTCACAAATTGTAAAAGAATAAATAGCTCTGAAATACTGGACCATAGAAGTCATTATAATATTAGGTAATATTTATTACACTATTACTATTACATATTCTTTATTTTCAGGGGGATTTTTATGTATGCTTTTGTCATTGTCAAGGAATTGTTTCAAACTTACGGTCATAAAGACAACATCTCTCCTGTTGATTTTTATTTGGCGAAAGATCAATGGGAGTTTGAGCTAACAAGTGCATTATTTCTGGCAGTATTTGCTATGTTGATTTATGCAAGACTGCACCAAACATCAGTGAGTTCCCCCCAGATCTTTGTTGATCGATAATTCTAGGACATGAGGGTTGGCAGAACCTACAGTGAAGTTTTGACTTTTAGTTACTTATTTTAGGGAAAGATTAGACTTGGGTGTTGTTTTTTAGTTTCCCGTGTTTAAAACTTTTATTTAATAACAATATCATGTCAACAGGTGCTCCGAAAAATCATTTTCATCACACTATTGGTGGAATTAATTGCTAATGTAGTGTCTCTAGCTGGATATTTGGCAGATACAGACAAATCACCTATTCTTCCTATGATTCTATCTGCAATCATCATGGTGGATCATTTAGGTAAGAAAATGTTTGAATATGAAGATACATTAGGTGCTTTTAATTGTGTATAATATAGTGATCCCACTGTTCAACATTATTTAAGCTGAATGAGTGGGCCAACACACAATATTATTTTCTATTCCCATTTTGGAACAGGGTTGAAAATACATGAATGTTAAAAACCCATACATTTTTCAGGTGTGACAGCATTGACTGTTTTGCTTTTTGTATACAAGTACCACCCATTTGTTAGAAGAAAATGGAAAGCATTGGTCACATTTATTTTTATGTAAGTTGTTAAGATCAATTGATCAAAACAAATGATAGCAATAAACCCTGGGTATTCATGAAAATATTGATGTAATATTATAGACCTAGACACAGCAGTCTTTGGCTTCAATTAGTCTGTACAGTGTATACTGTACAGTTAACATTGGCTTTCACAACCACTAAAATTACAGGGCAGCAATATTTATTCCAATGATACTCTATACTGGGACTTATCTCTACTTTGAGAAATCAATCAATGATCATTCTCTCTCCTTCAACAACAAAAGCATATACTTCTATTTGGATCTAAGATATAAGGTACGTAATTTAATGATCGTTTCTCAAATTAAAAACACATTGCTAGATAGATTTAATTTTTATCAGGTGGCTCTGTGTAAGTAGTTATATTTAAATACATTTCGTAGACAATAAAAAACATGGTACTATGAAATGAAAAAAATTATTTCAGAACGATACGAGTGATTTAAACATAAGCCATCCCATTGGGGTAAGTGTCAAAGTGGTACATTTAAAAAATAAGAATAGTAATCTTATTTCTATCAGTTAGTATAAAACTTGAACTGCTCCCAAATTTAGCAAATTTTACAATTTAATGCACATGCACTTAGACATACTTTGTATGTTCTTACAGGTAATATCATACACAGCTATAAATGCTATCGCTATATGTATCTACGTAGCTGCATGCTGTGCTGCACATTACAGTAGAGAAAGAAGTACTGACAATGAGGACCTTGTTGAAACTATTGAGGATTCTGAGGACAAAGAGAAATACACAGCCTGTAAAGTATTATTTAGCTACCAATTTTGTGTCATTGTTATGGTAAGCAAGTTTAGAATTTGTTGGAATTCAAACTTTGTTTCTAGAATCTAGTCGAATAACCGCCAGTACTTTTAATGATAGATCATTCAGCATAAAGCAAACCTTGACCATGAACATTCATGTAGATAGGGTAAGTATATTTCTGCTATCAAAGAAAAATAGCCAACTATTTACAGGGGATCGCCTTTGGCATCAGAAACATCAAATACACAAAAAGCTGGCAGGAGAGCAATTCAAAATGGATAGATTATTCTATGGAATTTATTGAACTTTCAAGTTTGATTCTTGCAGATCTTGCTGGAACTGCTATGACTCTGATATTTTGTATAAGGTATATTGAAGTTATTCACAAGATTGCACAAAGAATTCATTAACTTTTACTCAATACCTGGTTCACAAAACATTGTTCTTGAATTTCTGGCCTTAGCATTTAGATGAGTTGGTTCTCAATGACATTTGAGGGGACCTTTACTTAGAATATGATTCAGTTGATCACATATTGTAAAAGTGTTAGCAAATAAAACAAACAAAACGATTTTCAAATTATTACTCAAAGTTTAAATCATAATATTTGTCAGCCCAGGAAATATGGAGAATGAAATTAAGCGCTTCCTACACATTCCAATGAAGATCAGAGCATATCTAACAAGTTGGTTTTTCATTGGGTCATTAACATTAATTATCAAATTAACAAATTTTATCATCGCTGAACTAGGTGCTATCTTCAATGTTACAAACAGATTTCTTATTTCTGTGCAGTGTAATCACCATCACAATATGATGTGCTAATAAAGTATCAACCTACAAAGGGTGTACGGATATGGACAGCTCACTGGATTTAACTAATTTACCACTGGGGGATCTAGATCGATGTCGCAGATTTGTGCTTTATCACAAAGCAGCTTTACTACACATTATCCACCAACTGTCAGAGACAACAAAGATACGTTTGAAGGTAAAAGTACTATGGTTGTGACATATTATTTTACAGTCTGTAATCAATTAATATAACCAGAGAAGAAGTAACTTATCAGACATACTTCTCAAGGTGGCCCAACCATGAGGGAACGCTGATTTAGGAAATTGCTGGATTTTATACTCAAAGGAGAGTGATATTTTAAAACAATTGTTATAATGTCCTTATATATTTTGATTACAAAATAAACCACACCATACAATTTCAACATGAAATGATATGTGAAATTGTAAAAATTCCAGGAAGAAGCCTGGTGGCATTTCTAGTTCAGACTGGTGTTGCAGATAGTCCAGGAGAAGCTGTAAACCTTGCAGATAGCTATTTGAGGGTAAACCAGAAGCTTGCAACTATACTAATGTCTAATATTTTAATATAATGAAGGAAACCTATTCAAAATATCCACAATAACATTATATTGGAAAATATCAACATGATCAGACAAACCAAACGGTATAGTTGAGAATGCATTTTTCATTGCAGGGAAGATTGATTACTGGGGAGGAACACATGCATCCTTTTAGAGGAGGCATCCTGACATTTGAAGGAGACAGCACAAAATACATCTTAGTACCAGATGATGTATGTATGGGGGATGTCATTGTACAATATTATTTCGACAATTTTTGATGTTTTTACTCTTAATTTGCATTTAAACGTTAAATTATTATTATTAGTACACTTAATTCATTTCCAAGTATGACAACATCCCTGCCTCCCAGGAGATTCCTGATTTCAGTGAGTTGTTACAAAACAGAGCTATCCAAGAAAGACCCTTCTTCTACCTGGACTAGAACTGAGAGAGGAATAATTAATTAAATCGAGTTGAAATTCCATTACATGAAATTGATGACAAAACATTTTCTAATTGGTTTGTTAAGAGACATCACATTGTTGTAAACTGCAGTAAGGACATTCAATATCGATGTGAGGTCATCAAGTGCCACCAAGAAGCATTCTGTGTTAAATTGACTTATTTGCCATTAATGCAAATAACCCTAACTCTAGTCCCTAACCACACCTACAAGTGATTCATTTCGTGATGAGTTCGGCCAGTCTCCTATGTGTTCAATATTTACTTTTAAGGATCTAAAAAACAACTTTTTAGGAAACTAATTATGAGCTGTGAATAATAGCTAATAATAATATTGGCAATATATTTATATTAATTGATCGTTCTTTCATGTTTAATTACTAGTAGAATAATCTCTATGCTGTTTCTTCATACAAATGATTTGATTTGAAACTTTTACAAAATAGCAAATATACAAATGTACAGCAAGTCGAACAAACATATAAAATGGGCCGAAATGTATAAATGCTATAAAGCGTGGGTCAGTGAAACAAGTACAGAGGACAACTTTCAAAACAGGAGTTTTATGGCCGCCCAAAGTCTCAATAACATCACCTCCACCTAGTAATAAAATTATGAGATATGAAAAGTGTGAAACAATCAAATAATAAAATATTCAAAATATATAGTTGTCTCTTAAATACAGATAACGTCTGAAAATTCTTAAAATAATCATCACTCCTTCATATATACTGATCAGTGTCCGAGAGTGTAACTCATGATGACTTCTTATCACGGCTACATACCTTCCCGTACCGGATGTAGTGGTCGAGATGAGTCTGTTCCGCCCTCTTCTTCTTCAGGTCAGTGACCAGATGCTTCCTTGTTGCTCGTTCTTCGCTGGATCTGTCTGGACATATCCATACATCTTTGTGCTTCTCCCTCAGTCTCCCTGTTTTCATCAGAATCTGATGAACCGCTGTTGAGCTTGGGACGGTGATCTTGACTGGTCGGATAGCCGTACTACCTGGCCTCTTCCAACCGACTCTAGTCGCTTCGAAGTGAGGTTTCTCCCCGATCTCCTCCAAAACTGCGGTAACTAGCGCTGGAAGCTGTTCTTCCTCCTCTTCTTCTAAAAATAAAAATACTATATTCCCAACCATTCATAAGGAAATTTAATCCTTAACTTTAATCGTTGTTAATACCATTGTTATTGTTAAGTCACTAGTATATTTACTTGACTCATTTTATCTTTTATATGTTTCGAGAATTTAAGTGTGGAGACTTGGAGTTCATATATTACAATACCAGCTGGTAATTAATCAAGAAGAACAATTGGGGTAGGCAGGTAGCCCTTGATGAAATAATTGCAATATCCTAGATAAAATTGTTGCTATAGTTGATTTAAAAAAAAAATCTGATGTTTTCTTGAAAAATGTATTGATTTCTTGTTTATAGTGTTTGTGTGCAGAGTGAATTTTGAACTGATAGTCATTTTTAAGCCAAGAGCTGTTCTGACAAGTGTCTTATGGGTGTAAATTGTGTTTTATCTATTTTAATAACATGTTTCAGTGCATTATTTTTGGTAGTATGGTAATTAGGTAGGTACTAGGTATAGTGGTTACGTGAAGATCTGTCTAGCTCACACTGCTAGATAGCAATTGCAAAGCAGGTCTTCCTCAGATTTTTATTCAGGGTTCTTTCTGAAAATTTACTATTTTAGGAGATAGATTGTAATATTGTCAAATACACTTTGAGAAAACATTGGATGGCACTTCGGGCCAGTCCCCAAACTTATTATTCCATTGAATAAAAAAGAAGCTGTTAAGCGAAAAAAGGCCATTTTCTGATACAGGTCTGGCAACCTAACAAATCATTGAACACAATGGTATGACATAAAAAGATTCAGAATCTGCTCCAAAATGTAGATCATGAGACCTTAATCAGTCATAAGCTATGCAAATGCGTGTTGAATTCTTAAACCAATTAAGTAACTGTATTCATGCTGTGTCTGCACTAAGATTATATGGTTCTCTCTTGTGTAAAAAGATGAGCCTAAACAGACTTCAGCTCATTGGGTTATGGCTGTTTTAGGTTACTGCATAGAGCAGAAGGATACTGACAAAACTAGATGCTTTAGCGCATTAACGCATCAAATTTTGCGAAAACGCCTATGGAATGAAAAAGATAAAAGGAAAATTGATACATGATGATGATGAAAATCTGAAAATCAAGGTACTGGAAGCAGTATATCCGGAGGAAACTTTGATGCAATGAAAACTTTGAATATTAAAGTCACTATTGTGACGGTACATTAGAACTAGGCAGAAACAAAGTGTGTATGTATATGTCATTAATCTATCCAGATCCCTTGCGTTTGCAGTGGCGTGAAAGCACATGGTTAGGTGAAAATATGTCCTACCGGTAGGACATATTATTCAAATTTCAGCTTTCTGCGACCCAAATTTCACTGTTCACTGTTTCGACCGAAATTTTTTGAACGACCATCTTATTACAAGGTCACTGATGACTGAGGAGGACACAAGACATGACACGATTGAAGTTCTTTAAGTTTTATTCCCAAAGAAAGCTTTGATAAACGGAAAATCATCGAAATAAAAAAGATATTTTGGAAGATTTTTAAAAAGAAGCTTTTTCTACAACGTCCTCTTCACTTTTGACCGAAATTAATTAATTTCCTGGTTTGAAAATTTTAGCTTTCTCCGACCCAGGCGGCGGCGCAAAAATGTATATACACTGTGTGCATTTAAAAACCCTTCACTTTGATAGTAAAACATACATTTTCATCAGTGAAGTCAAACTTGAATTTTAAAATGTCATAAAAAAGTTAAACATTTAAATTACGGGAAAGCAGATTTTTGGCATGGCTTTGGTCGTGAAAACTCGATCTTTAGCTCCAGAATTTGATTCATAATGTCAATCCTTTGCAGCTCGGCGAGTGGTGCATTTTGCCGATCTACCAAAGTGCAAAGTGGTTACGAGAAGATGCACGGCGCGTCCCAGTAGTGCATCGCGCGCTGCATATATTTTGATATTTGATGTTTACCATTTCACATGATTTATGTGGAATTTGGATTTATTGGGCGAGTTGGCGGCGCTCAGCATGTCATTTACCTAACCATCAACCATGTACGCTTTCGTGCCGCTATAGTTCGGGCGCGCTTGTTTCACAAATAACGGGACGGCGGGCGCGCTATTGCCAGCGCAAGGGCTTTGGATAGAGCAAAGCATGTCATTCCGTCGAATCTCTATTCTATTATGTTTATGAACATAATAGCCTGGCCGCCTGGGGTCTCCTAGGTAAATTTGGATTGGCGTGCCAAGTAATTTTTGTAATACAGCCTACTTAGCTCTTTTATAACTAATTTGTAAAAAGCAATTGCAATTGTATCACGTCTTGACTCATATTGTCGTTTCATTGACGGATGTTACTCGTCTAAATTTCTTCGAAGTAGCGCGCGCGCTGCTTTCTTCTCGAAATGTTGGCCCGACGCGATGGCAAGTGTTACGAAGTAGCCCGCGCCGGGCCAGACCATTAGCAATGGTCAAATTGTGACCTTGGCCTTACATAGCACGCCAATCCCATGCCAATGTGCGAAGCCCTTTTTGGGCCTCCCGCATTGGCAAGAGATATAATACATTTAACGGGTGATTGTAGGTTATAAACCTACAATAATACATGAGAGAAGCGAGCAATATACTGAAAAAACTAATATAAGTAAGATGGGACTGCGACCTTAATTGTTAATTATATTTCAAATGAAGTGGCACTTCAAAAGGGGACAAAAGGGTATACTGATACATGCCAAACATAAAAACGTAGGGTAAGCTTCGCTTGGGATTTGTTTCCACTTTCGTTTGTGATCGGTGATTAACGTCTTACTCATCACTGCACTGTTTTTGACCATTGTTAATGATCTGGCCCGGCGCGCGCTACTTCGTAGCTCTTGCCATAACGTTTCGAGAAGAAAGCGGCGCGCGCTACTTCGAAGAAACTTAGACGAGTAACATCCGTCAACACTGTTTTAGTTTACAGTAAGACAGTAAACTTTCGATGCACAGTCCGAGCACGGTTGGAAACGAACCTTATATCCTATCTTAATTTGTAGCACTATCCAGATTCCAGGGTCCACGCTCGGGACACAGTTGGATTTTGGAATTGAATCATTGAAGACACAGTCCAGACACACTCGGGACGGCTGGGGTTTAGTCGGGCACGAAGTTCAAGTACGAACAGTATCTTAAGGGGGCAAACCCCAAATCTGTCCAGACCTAATGACCTCATAGTCAGTTCAGTGACCTTCTAGCGCACTGTTTCCACACCAAAAAGAATTATTTTGAGAATACCTATTTTTGTAATCGAGCATTTCCTTGACGGATGTTACTCGTCTAAATTTCTTCGAAGTAGCGCGCGCCGCTTTCTTCTCAAAATGGCAAGTGCTACGAAGTAGCGCGCGCCGGGCCAGATCATTAACAATGGTCAAGCATTTCCTGGTTAAGAGTGCAATTTTCGGAAAAAATTATTTTGTGGTTGAGACGCTATAAGTTAATCATTTCTTGCGGTATCGGGTTGAAATTTTGCTCACCGTTTATTCACATCTATGTCAAGGTGTGTGTAAAATCTTGATATCGTATCTATAAAGGCTGGTGTGTTATGAATTTTTAAAGTCAAAAAGCTAAAATTGTCCTTTTCAGGCTTATTTTAACAAAAAGTCAGTCAGGCCCAGGGAAGATCGGATTATTTGATGCTTGACATCAAATTGTTCTCTGAATTCTGGCGCAGTTTTTGATGCCCTCAAAAATGTTTTTACTCATTCACCTTCTGATCTATTGGACCTCAAAGCCAAACAACAAATTTAGGCACATTTTTCGTTTTTAATATTTACTGATTTTTCTAAAATTTTGATAAGAATGTGCTAGTGACTTTTTGAAGGGTGCAAAATAACCGCAATTAGCACATTTATATATGAGTTATGAACAACAAAACACCCTAAAATGCTTCCCTTTGAAGTTATGGGAGAAAATGTGATTTTTTGGCTTTGCAGATAAAAAATCACATTTTCTCCCATAACTTCAAAGGGAAGCATTTTAGGGTGTTTTGTTGTTCATAACTTATATATAAATGTGCTAGTTGCGGTTGTTTTGCACCCTTCAAAAAGTCACTAGCACATTCCTATAAAAATTTATAAAAATCAGTAAATATTAAAAACGAAAAATGTGCCTAAATTTGTTGTTTGGCTTTGAGGTCCAATAGATCAGAAGGTGAATGAGTAAAAACATTTTTGAGGGCATCAAAAACTGCACCAGAATTCAGAGAACAATTTGATGTCAAGCATCAAATAATCCGATCTTCCCTGACTGACTTTTTGTTAAAATAAGCCTGAAAAGGACAATTTTAGCTTTTTGACTTTAAAAATTCATAACACACCAGCCTTTGTAGATACGATATCAAGATTTTACACACACCTTGACATAGATGTGAATAAACGGCGAGCAAAATTTCAACCCGATACCGCAAGAAATGATTAACTTATAGCGTCTCAACCACAAAATAATTTTTTCCGAAAATTGCACTCTTAACCAGGAAATGCTCGATTACAAAAATAGGTATTCTCAAAATAATTTTTTTTGGTGTGGAAAAATTTTTTTGGTGTGGAAAATTTTTTTTTTGTGCGCTAGAAGGTCACTGAACTGCCTATGAGGTCATTTGGTCTGGACGGCACAAACCACTGTTTTGGGGTATGCCCCCTTAATCTTGTCTCAATTGATACTTGGTTCGTTCCTTTAACGTAGTACGCTAAGGCCCATGGTTAGGTGAAACGTTACGGCACTGGGTGAAAGCGTTCCCAAACTAACCACGTATCATCGGATAACCAAATTGCCACGGGTATTCTGTCTTCTTAGTTAATAAACCCTTATCGGTTTATCCTAGGCATGTCGCTCCGTGGCATGATTTTATCAAAAGGATCGAACTTACAATGCTGTTAATATTATAACTTTGGTAACCACAAACCAAGCGTGTTTAACATTCCTTGGTAACATTCCTTAAACTGCTGCTGAGTTGGAAACAACAAATTTGTTATGTACAAGATAAATGAAACATGCAGATTTCACGATCGCGATATTCTGAAGTAAAAATTTCTCAATTCTTTATTGAAATATTTATCGTACATTGACAAACACTTGAAACTGAAAGATGATTCAAAACATTTTGAGTTATTGAAGTTCTGACTGTACATTTTAAGAGTCTTACATTCATAACAGGAAACATGAAATATTATCACGAGTAAACATCTTGGTTCACTATTGATTGTCGATTAAATACATTGATCCGTTTTCCTTGAATGTTAATGTTTTTTATCAGCAGTCTTATGGATTATATTGAGGCTAACAAAAATTAAAGGCACGAAAACGCAGAAAGTTAGCCGTTGATTCTGAAGTGATAACTTTGGCATCTAGCTTGAACACCTTTGACGAGTTTCTTGCACTGGGCTCGTTCCAAAGCCTCGATCAGTTTATCGACAGTAGCACTTTCCTTCTCCCTCTGTCTCCATTCGTGCAGCATGTCGTACGCCATTTTCTCGACCTAGAAAGTAAAATCATGTCACCGAATTACAAAGTCCTTTGTATGAGAGCATTAAAATAATCCATTTAAAAAGGACAGATTCTAACAACGATTCTAACAACGGATTCTAACAACGATATTTTTCAAACATCATTACCTGCCAGGCATCTGCTTCAATACCCTTAATTCTGGGGCTGGGAATCTTGAGACAAACAGCCAGATCCTTCCAACTCTCACCAAGATTGTCCTTCAAGTACACCATAACTCGGTAAGGGATCGTCTCTGTGAAATATAAAGACGTCATAGGAACGTTGTCTAAGTCAAAGTGAGTCGGTCGAGTCGGTCGAGTAGGTCGAGTCGGTCGAGTAGGTCGAGTCGGTCGAGTCGGTCGAGTCGGTCGGTCATTATTCAGAAGAGGAAAATGTCTTAATAAAATATTGGTTCTATCGTAACAGATAATCGCTGTCGAGAGTGTGGGGTTAAAGATGATAGATTAAACGAAGGTAATACTAACTACAAATTGAATATGCAGCAATAAATTGATTTTACCTTCAGCAATTGGAACTTTCACTGGGGCATCAACTTTTCGGCCTCGACCACCCTTTCTCTTCTTCTTTGTTGGCATGTTCTCTGCGGGGATCAGTTTTGTCAATCGAAGAGTTAGTCATATAATTTTTTAATAAATATGACTACACTCACTCGATGACCCTATTAAGCTATTAGAGCAGTAACCATAAACTTACCTTTGTTGACTTTATCCATGACTCCTCCGGCTAGTTTGGAGAGATCAGCAGCCTCGAGACAAGCACAGAGCTTGGCAACAGTAGGCTGGGGATCCTTCTCTGCCCACTCGAACAGCATGTCTTGTGCCATCTTCTCTATTCCTGGTGGGGTAGGTACTTGCTAAAATGAGGATATCTTTTAAATATAAAGTAGCCTTCAAATCGAGCTGAATCAACTCGTGTGAAGAAGAAATAAATTTGTGTCTATAAAGCTGACGTAAACTAAATCGGTATAAAACCTGTTCTAGCACTGGCGATGCCAACATCTTCAATCCTTCGCAGTCTCTCCCGAGAGATACCAAGATATTGACCAGCTCTCTTCCAGTTGATACCAAGGTTCTTCTTCAAGTACAGCAGTACGGTGAAAGAGATATCTGGAATAAAGCCATGTTAACAAATTCCTACAACATACTCCCCATGTAATAAATTCAATCATATTTCCATGTAAATAAACATATAAACTTGCATCGCATAAGTGATGAAAATCACCTGTTTTTTGAGCCCAGACATCGACAGCCTGACCGCCCTGCTGGTAAGCTTTAGCGTCGCTCAATCTTGTGTAAACATCTGCTCTTTCATCATCTTCTGGGTCTGACAACATCTCGAACTTTGGTCTGTAAGATTTCGAGTTTAAATATTCATACTTAACAATCTGCTACTGTTGTAGAAAATATGCTAAGATCTTACTTAAGACAGTAACACTTGCGGATTTGACAGACAGTATTCTACGTTACTTCATGACAACGATAGAACTAGAAGTACAGAAAAATAAAGGAAACCAACGCTTCTCACTTTTCATATGTTTCAGATGGAGGCTCGTAAGCAGTGAAAGTGGATCTGTAGGTAGCTGGTCGCTCATCTTGCTCGAAGAAAGACCGGTTGCTTAGTCCAGTTGGCATCTGCAAAATAAAACACGTTCACTAATACATTGTAATACTTAGCTTGTTATGATTTTTGAATGATTAATAACTTTAAAATTCAGAGCTGGGCTCTAATTTAAGTAACTAAGCAAAGTCTAACGAAATTTTCAAACATTATCGGTTAGGGCATGTTTATGAAGCCTCTCAAAAAAAACTCTCGAATTCCATACCCTGAGAGCCATGTCAGCGTAAGGGTCGCTCCTGTTTATGATAGTGTCCTTGTTGACCCAGTAATCGCCCATAGGCTGCTGAGGAATAAGGGCATCTGCTGTTATCTGAGTAGCTATCTCTTTGCTGATAACAAACGATTTGGACTTAGGTTTTGGCTTGTTCTTGGGGGTGATTGGGGGCAAGAATGGACTCTCATCGTCACTTTTATCCTGACCTGAAGTTACATAGAAATTTATAGGAGTTGGTTAAGCTGATAATATAAGTCATAATTTCTAGATTTATATGAATTGAATCAGACGAGTTAGTATTATATGGAATCTGGGTAATAGTAACTCACCTCTGTCGAACATGGCAGATGCTGATGCTTCTGAAAAAATGAATATGTTAACTTATTATGTTTTTATGTTATACTTAATTAGTTATGTTTTTAAAAATGTTTAATTCCTGTTTTAATTCTTATTAAAATGAGTTTACTTTCTATTATCGTGTATAAAAGGAATAAACAAAACGTTAAATTATGGGGATTGAGTGGCAGAAATTGTAGATGAATTGAAACATCGAGCTTACTTTTGGCGGTGGTGACGTGACTTCTGTCAAGATTCCAGTTCAAGTCAGCTTCCAGGCTAACTGAAAGAAAACAAGGTGAGAAATGATTGCAATTTCTAAAATATATTCAAAGATGGAAAATATTTAATTTAAAACTTAGCAGATAAGCAATGTGATCATTGAGACTATAACAGTCTACAGTATGATAAACGTGAAACTAAGATATGTCTTGCAGCGTTATTTTCAGCTGATGCCGTTTTTGAAATTGGATCAATGATACTAAGTTAACTTTGTGAAAGCAGCAAAGATTTAAGATAAAAGAAGACGGGTAATATTATATGGAGCTACCTTCTGATTCCTCGGGAGAATGCCTCACTCCTGATTTCTTGCTTTTAACAGAATCTGTAATTTCATGAGTATGATATGTTCCGGAGACAAGACAAGAATAAATGCTGAGACGGCTGATGATGATGCTCTGAGATTTTTAGTCTCCAATTCAAAAAGCTGTTAAGGGTGCTTTATGACTAAATAAACCCAATTGCATGCAAACAAGCTTTTTTGATTAAAGAATTTGTGAATTTATGATAGAGATACTATCTGGTAGCAACTTTTTACTACACGAACAGCGGTTAGTACCTGGTGCTGTCAAACGTTCCAGAAAGGAATCAGTGTCCCCAGATATATCAAATGTTACTGATAAAAGTGAAGGAGGAGGTGATAAGATTTCGTCATCATATTTTATATCACAAGATTTTTAAAATAATGATGATTATATTTCAGATGCTTTGGCAAGGTAGATGACGAACATTCGCCAACATTCGAGTCAATAAAACAACGATGAGCATGCAAACAGCCATTTAAATACAAGGTTTACGATTACATCACGAGTCAATCAGGATAGGGCTCGCATGTTTCAGTGCCGATAATAATTATGAATCAGAAATCATGTAAAATATTCTTTCAGGCTGTTAAAAAGAGGCTGTTAAGTTTATATTTTAGTTGTTAAACTGCTCATATCATTTAGCTTTATATATGAAATGAAATGAAATGAAATGAAATGAAATGAAATGAGGTATTTTATATAGAAATGGTCGTATCAATATGATTGATATTTGGTGCCATTGTGCAAGCAGTGCCTGTTATCTTGCAACATGCAACATGCTGCTTAATATACAGGCTGCAGAGTGCAGGATCTCAAGTGCTTGTACCTGCACGGGATTGGGCGGCAGATGTACGGGATTGGGCGGCAGATGTACGGGATTGGGCGGCAGATGTACGGGATTGGGCGGCAGATGTACGGGATTGGGCGGCAGATGTACGGGATTGGGCGGCAGATGTACGGGATTGTGCGGCAGATGTACGGGATTGGGATTGTGCAGCTGATGCGCGAGAATGATCAGCAGCTGATGCACGAGATTGGGATTGTGCAGCAGACGAGTGATGATGATCGCTAACAACTGACCTCTTTTCATCTTCTGAAAGTTGTATGGCATGGAACCGACCAGATACGGCCGGGTTCGTACCCTATATCGGTGGCCTTGATTGGCGAACAACACTGGTTATAACTGATACGGATGAAACTCATGCAGCGTGCAGGCTTAGTCTTATTAGTCTTATTCATCGATTTTTGATGGACGACAAACGAAGCTTGTTTGTTAGGGAGAGATCACCCAAAAAGAGGATGTTTTTGCGAACGATAAAACTTCGACATAGCAAGCAAAATGGTTCAGTATGTGCCATGATTCTCAAACATTTTTACATTGATGTCGCAAAGCAAAATTTGTTCTAAAAGGTTGATTAGACCTTTATATCATGCACAGAGACAAAACTTCACAAAATTACGTAGAACAATGATAATGATACAAAAATTATTCAGTATATCCGGAGAAAACACATGAATGATTCATGCACATTGCACATGTTAGGGTTCAACATTGTTTAATCTTACATCTTGTATAGTTACTAAACGGTCTTATTTTTTAGTGCATGCAACATGCGGAAAATAACGTTAAATATTATCGAGCTGCTTTGCTCTTACAAGACGGCAATCAAAAAAGCAACCACTTGCCATTAATCAAAATTTGTATACGAAAACTTATTATTAGTTACGCTTTAACTCAGTGCTTCAATACTGTACACAATAAAAACTTGCTAATTGCTTCAATGATAGAATTGAGCTGCTGAAATTACCTCGATGTGATGATTTTGACACACGAGCTGAGAAGCATGATTTGTAAATGAGATTTGTTGGAAAAAGATCAAGCTTTATCTATGGTATAAGCATTTTGAATGGCCTTTCATAATTTACCAAATAATTTTATAGCATTTTAAAGAAAATGCTTGGTATAAAGATGGGAAGTGCGAAAAGGTCAGTTTTGCAACCAGGACGCGGTCAAATAGCATAAGCAGGATTGTCTAATTTACTAAAGGAATTGAATTGTTCATTGTTCATCTTTCCTACCTGATTGAATTTCTTGGTCGTAGTGGCCGGAAGTTTCACTGTGGCGACTATGTCCAGACTTTTTTCCGTCCCCTTGATTGGAAGACGTTTCAAAAGAAAATACTTGGTTAAATGATAAATTATTTTATGATAACATTATATGAGGTATGGAATCGTCACTAGCATCAACTGCGGTTCATTTTTTAACAAGAAGACATGCTAGGAATTAGTTACGCGATTATTCTATTATATATACAAAATATTTTAAAAGAAAGTTGTTTAATGACATATTTAAAGAAAATGCACAGTTTTACGAAAAAGAGTTATATGGTTAAATGATAAAGAATTATACGATACAATTTTATGAAGTGAGGAAGAGTGAAGCTTCCACCAGGGTTCGTTAATCGAACATAAAACAGACCGGAAAATAAAGCCCCGTTAGAACCGATAATAGTTACTTTTCAATATTTCTTACCTGAGTGAGGTTCTTGTTCGTTGCGACCAGATTCATTGTGGTGATCGTGTCCTGACTTTGTTCGTTCATCTGAAAATACTAAGGTTTGCAAAGTAAAAGAATAGAAAATTTGCTTTAAAAAATTTGGCTTTTAGTTGCATTTTCGCAAAAATTCATACTTTTCTTCAAAATGAATAGGCTTCTGAAAAGTGCAAGATTTGAAGTAATACAGTTATAAGGCTGAAGGTTAAAAGTGCAAATACATAGTCCGTGGAAATATGAAAGTTGATTTCTTATCCCAAAAACGCGAGACTCTTGACGTAATCCCGTAAATACAAATAATGCAGTATCATCTGAATCTAAAAGGCTATAAATATGATTATGCTGGAACAGTTTTATGAACAAGAAAGGAATTTTAAAACTATGTTAAAGTAACAAATAAGCTGCGTGTACCAGGACTACCATGAATTCTCCCGATCCTCCGGAAGATGTGAGCAAATTGGACGGCTAAATTGAAGCTATTATTTTTGGCTCAGTAACTGACAATTGCGTATCAGTATTTGGTACCTGAATGTTGTCCGGTAAGCTTGGCGACTCTTGTTGTGACGCCTTGTGCTGAATGATAAGCAAACATAAATCATAAATGAAAGCGCAGACGATTCAATGATAGCTTTACGACTCATGCATCGTGAGAATACGGCGTTAATCGTGCGATTTATCAGCCGTTAGTTTAGATTAGATCGACTTAAGAGCAAGTATACGAAGATTAGTTGGGTCCTTCACATATTATCCCAGTTTTCAGTTTAAAGAATTAAAGGAATGCACTTCAAAAAGGATTTCCTCATAACATAACCATGCAAGAGGAGAAAGAGGGAGAACGAGAGATTGAGAAGAACATGGCAGGTTTTGTACCTGAGTAGTTATAATCCTGGTCTGGTTGGCCAGAGGCATCATTATTAACATTGATGGTATGGTCGAATCCATACCTCAATCGCTCTTCTGAGAATTTTTGTTCAGCTAGCTTTTCCCGATTTAAACTGCTCACAACATATTTTAAATTAAGCATGCAAAAGAAAATTCGAAATTTACATCTCCGTTATACACTATACAGTAGGTGTACATCTACTTTCAGTAATTTTGTTGCGAGGACCAGAATTTTCTAGACTTCTTCGCAAAATTTAACAAGGTAAACAAGGCGTAACTTCATAATATTTTCAGATATGAAAAATATACAATTTCTTAATGAAAAACAACTAAATTTAATACTTGATAATAAATGCTCACAAATTTGAAATACAATCAAATGTTCATGCAATCTTTGGAAATTTGATCATTGCATGCTGATGGAAATGTTGCATGCGGCCATCATGCATTGTACCTTCCGAGTTTATGGACATGGCCTCGGCCTCGATATCAGCCACATAAAATTCCTGGCTTGCTCTTGATTGAGACGCTAAACAAAGGGCCAACCATCAGAAAGAAAGAAGATGAAAGGAAGAACCAAAAGGATCAAATATTTAATTTTCTTAAGAAATAAGAACGTATTTAATATTTCATCATTGGTGTTGCAAGATGTTCATTTCATTTTTATCCGAAGGTTTTATCAGCTTACAAATGGGCTTATGAACAGGCAATTCGATTAATTCTACCTTGAGAAGTAGCTGACGGGGCCTTTGAAGTGGCTTTGGAGTCCTTCGCCCGTGAACCATGAGACGCTCGAGAACTTCTCTGCGCTTTTTCTAAACATGGATTACAAAGCTAAGATCACTTTTGACAATTCATGAGATTCAATGAAAAGAAAAATATTCATGAAATTTGAATTATAGGATTTAAAGTAAAGAGTTCCCCTTTAATAATCAGCATCACCATCTACCCTACCTAACCCTTTATTTCAAGATATTTATTAAAAACACTATTTACTTCAAAATATTTACTAAAACTTCACTTGAACTTACCTCCATGACTATGGGGAGACGATCGAGATTTTCCGGATTTCTCTGATTTCGCGTCAGCCTTTATTTGCTCTTTGGTTCTAGTGATATCGTCATCCGATGGTGATTTACGGATTCCGTAGTGTCTTCGAGCTGCTTCTTTCTTCTCTCGGCTTATTTCGTCCTCAGAATCTTGTTCATCAGCAGATTCAGACTTGTCTTTTCCATATTTGAAACCTCTGTCCAGAGCTTCTTCAACCAGGTGGTTTGGGCTTACCATGTCAATACCATCTTCGTCTGAAAAACATTAAAAATCATACTCAGAATTGAAATGGATCTAGACTACGATCCAATGAGGCTGGACAGACAATTCTAAAAACAACTTTTGACTAATTTACGGTAAGAATTGATCAACGTACAATGTCGGCCAGCCTTGTTCCTCAACATCTTGTTCTTGATCCTCTCTTCAGTTTCCATACTTCTATTGGCAACTGGGACGGGGGACTCTAGGTAGTTCCTAGCATCGTTGCCAGCAGGGGTTACCTCAATACCCTAAGGTGAATCACAATTTATCTACCGTGTTGACTATTTTAAAATTAGTAAATTGATATCGATTGTTTTTTGTTTTTTAATCTCAAAAGTTTCTTATAAACCATAGGGTGTAGCAGTTAAAAATGCAAAACGAAATTTACACCGACTATACCCACACTTACATGGTGAATAGCAACTCCTGATCGTGTCTGAAGTCGCTCCCTGAAGGATACGAGATCCATATCCTGGTCTTTTTTAACTTCCTGATACTCGTAATCCATCATATCTTCTTCAGCGTAGTCGTAGTAAGACTGCCATCCGGTCTCCCTGAAAGCACCGGAACCACCAATGCCAGCAAAAGTACCTTTAGTAGAAATCAGAGCAGGGGCTTTGTTGGACGATACGAACTTGCCTCGGCCGAAATTTCGGGTCTCTTTGGAGGCTCGATCGAGGAGATCAAATATGTCTTCGGTAGCTGGCTCCATTTCCTCGAGTCCCTTTTTGATGGGTGCTTTAGAATATTCCCTGTTATTGAGCTTCTCTCTGAAGGAAGATTTGTCGTCCTTCTCAGAGATTTCCTTCTGCTGATTCTTTCTGAAAGAACGGTTGTAAAAGGATTCGTCCACATGCTCTTCCACTGTCTTTAGCTGCTTCTTCTTGTCGGCTTTTCCTTTTCCTTTGCCTTTACTTACTTTCTTCTTTCCCTTCTCACCTGGTTCAAACTCGACTGACTTTCGCAGCTTCCTTGGCTCAGCTGAAAATTGTGATGCTTAATATTTATTTTAATAGATAATATTATAAGTCAATTTGTACTTGTCACTGCTTGCGATTAATTGTTTCCCCTTCAATAACAAGATTTTATAACTGATAAGATTTAAAACTGATAAGATTTAGCAACTTACGTCCATCAAATCCTTGCCCCTTGATGTCTTGTTCACTGACGTACTCCCGCATAGGCTCGAAAAACTCCTCCTGTTTGTTCTGCTCCTTCTTGATCTTGTCCATTTTTTCAGCGAATGTGACTACCTTCTGCTCCTTCTTCTCATCGCCTGCCCCTAGTTTACCCAATGTACGGTAGAACTGCTCTCGTTCAACTAGTCCAGTCTCATCGACCACATTTGTTCTTTCCATGAACAAGTCTGAGAGAGGCAAAAATAGAGAATTAAGAATCAAAGATACATGCTCTAACTTGAGCTACAGAACATCATTCTACAACGAACAATGGTTAGGGAAGTGAACGATGATCAGGGTTCTATTCTAGATTCAGTTCTTTGGTATGTACTCACTCTTTTCGCTATGGTCTTGTCCGTAGGAGTCTTTCTGTTGTTTGTTTCCCCTAACATCCTTCACATCATAGTCGCCTCCGTCCGAGAACCGGACATCACCAGGGTGAAGCTGCATTTTCTGCTTCCTAGTTCCCGGCACTGACTCCTGTTAATCACAAGAATGGTCAGGTAATGATGCCAAGAATTTGGAGTTCTGATAGATTATGGGAATCTGGTAGAATTTTACAATTCGTCTCTGAGATTGAAAAAAAACTGATAGCAGATCCTTGGGATAACAGAGATTGCCAAATATTTAGCTCCCCAGTGCAGTTTCAACTTACGTGAGTAAGATTGATCATGTGCTCCTGATCAACATGGAGCCAATCCTCTCTGATATCGAGGAAAGCGTCAGACAGGAAGAGTTTGCTGACTGGAGTTGGAGCAAGAGAGTCTGGGATGGAATCCGGTGTGTCTGGCGGGGAGAAGAGAGGAGTTGGCAGCCTGAGGATGCGCTGTGTTAGAGGAGAAGAAAATTGAAAGTTAATTTACACATATCATGTAATATGCATTATGCATGTATGAATATTTCTTGTTATGTATGAATATTTCTTGTTATATATGAATATTTCTTGTTATGTATAATGATAATGATACTGTAACTTATGATTTATCTAAATGAACACGAATAATCTTAAGCAGGTGTTTAAAAAAATAGTAACGGCGTGCCCCTCGTTATCCGTAGCCAACAGGTTGAATTGATGAAACTAAAAGTAGCTTTCAATTCATATTATCTCATTATCTCAGGTACCATATTTTATACAGCTCTCATTTCTCTCTAAAAACATAATCCGCGTGATGATGTTCGTTTTGTATGCTGCTGCAATATCTGCAGCAAGCCTTATCCTTGGAGACGACTCTGAGCACATCACTCACATTCTCCAGCCGAAACTAACCAAAAGGGAAGGAGACAAGCCCAAATTACATCTGAAATTTGCCAAGATATTGATCAAGACCTATCTTCGTACAGGCGACAAGACGTGGTATAAAAGGATCAAGGAACCAGCCCTAAAACATCTGGTCCACACTGCAGTTCTAGCATTGTGTTACAACGACAAGCCCTTTGACGGGGATGACTTGCAAACTCTTGTCAAGGAATTTCTCTTGGTCGCACGTACATCTCTCGCAAGAAAATCTAAGAACTGGGGTGTCGTCTTCAAGAGGTGTTTCAAAGACGCTGTATTGTCAGGAATATTGGAACAGGCTCTGTGTGAAGGCGTCAATCCGCTGGCACACTCCGGAATGTTGGTCAATTTCCTGGATAGGATGTGCCCCGTAGAAATCCCCTACTCCAACCCTACCGAACTCCTCTGGAAACTGGCATGCTATATTCTGCCGATGATAAACGAAGAAAACGAATTCGGGAAGATGGTCCTCTCCTCTCTGAGTGATAGGTTCTGCGGTAAAGATAGGGAGAAACGGCAATACAGTGTGAAGAGTTTGATATTCATGATGGATAATGCTATCTGTGAAGATCAGGATAGAGCTCGACATAAAGGGGTGACAAAATTTTTCGTCAAATATTGGTGCTGCTTGATTGAAATACTGAATTAGTTTACTCGGAATACACGTTTTATATAGACAAGATATTTATTAATGCGATTAATTTGTTCCGTTAAAGTAGTTTGTAGTTTTATTTTTGAGATATCTTCCTTTCATTTTTACAATGCCGTTTGTCCGGAAAACACTTAACAGATGAGAAAGAGCATGGGGATTTTTGTGACAGTCCTTATATAGAAACGTAGTTCTTATGATGAGAGAATTTAAGGAGCTTTAAAAGCAGGTGTGATTTCATCATTTCGATCATTCTGAAAATCCATTCATTTTGTGAGAAACAGTGAGCCATGGATAATGGAAATCTTTGATTTCATCTGCAGGTGTAAAAAGGGATAAATAAATTACGATCTTATAAATAAATGAGGGCCGGTGTATAAAGCAGCTGGACGCTTGACTATATTCCCCTGTTCCATCTTGAGTCTTGTAATGTAAATTTCAAAGCCAGTTTCTAGAGTTCTCTTTCGTGATGCGGCTATTAGTGAGAGCTAGTGTTGTGATTCTATCCACGACAATAATTGCTAGTATTTTTAATAATATTGACGAGATCTTACAACGATCAGTAAGTGGGAGAAGTGTAAATGAAGACTACGATTTGGAGTTCCTAAAGACTTCCTTAAGGGCTTATCTTTGCACTGGTGATAAGCAGTGGTATAAAAAGATAAAAGAACCATTTCTGAGGCACATGATGCACGTCTCAATAGAGGGAATGTGTAACAAGACTAAGCGACTGAGCGAAGAAACCCTGAAAATCTTCATACATGATCTGCTTAGTGCCCTGAGAGGATCATCATCCGCTATAGCGGATACAAAAATGAAAAAATGTTTTCACGAAGCTTTGGTTTCCGGATTTATCCGTCAATCTATCTGTGAAGAAAACGACACACCGCTATCAAAAGATGGATATTTGGGAAACTTTCTGAACATGATCTGTCCTTACTATTCCAAGAATCATGACCCACAGGAGCTACTAAAGACGGGATTTTGTATAGTCACGTCAGCTTTTACCGGAGAAAACAGCCTCAGTGATTTATTTCGGAGAATTTTGAGGCAGCTGGCGTGCGCTGAGATGAGAAAAAAGCGGCAGTTTGATCTGATCAGCATGATTCATACTATGGAAGTTGCTATGTGCAGAGAGGAAGGGATTAAGAGTCGGATAGGAGGAAGTGATGTTCTTTTTGTCGAATACTGGTGTTGCTTGATTGAAATTGTAAAGTCAGAGAGAGGAGTGTGATCGTGAAACACTTTGTTTTATAAATTACTTATGACTCTAGAATCTATATGTTATACTATAATATTGTGTATGAAAACCTTTTGAAAAATTGATTAAGCATTCCCCGAGTTAAATATTTGTTATTCATTAGTATTTTGCTGAGCCTACAAAATAACGTCAACATTTTAAATTCAAACCTGTCGTCAAATGGCAATTCCTGCTCTCTGATTGCAGCCATATCCCTGAAAGAGAAGAAGTCTCCTTCCCTGATATCGGACTGTATCTCCTCCTTGGTATACTTCACATCTTCGTGCTCCAAAAACCTCACTCCGTCAGTTCCGGGCCTGATGGACTTCTTCTGCGATACTGTTTTCTTGTCGTCGTTAAACTCAAACAGACTGGCAGACATGCTTAGCTTCTTTTTGCCAGAGTCGGTTGGTTCGTACTCTATACCGACACCTGTGAGGACGAGACATTATTGGTTTGACCTTTCAAATTAATTAACACAAATACGACGTATTCTAATTATATATGCTATGAAAATTAACTTCAAAAGTAACGCTTGAATTGTTTAAAATACGCACTATGCTCGGTTCTCTTTCGTCGGCCGTGTCCGTCCGCGTCTACAGATGCTGGAGGAGTTGAAGGCTGCTCCGAATCGGAGAAATGGCGACCTGGAAATCAAGCAATTGTTTCGTGAGAACTTTATTGAAAAAGTTAGGTTATGGATATTATAGTAATGTACCTGGTGGGGGATATTTAAAACGTATAAGTGATACGAAAGATTTTATTAGCAGGAGCTTTCAAAATACTTGTGTAAAGCTGTAATGTAAATTATTCTGTATTTGTAACGAATACGCCTCATAAAAACCTCATATAAGCTTCATAAAAAACGAATGGAACAAAACGAGCAGTTAGTACTCTTAATACGATTAAATTGCTCTTGATCCAATAGTTAGATAGTTGAAACTGACCAGTAATCTCGTTATGATCAGAGAAGACTCCAGAGAACATATCAACCGGGGTCATATCTCCTCTCTCCTGCTCCATAGCAGCTTTCTTCCACTCGGTCACTGAAACACAGTGTCAGTGAAGGTCCTGACTCACAACTTTGCTGAAATTGTTATAAACACCAAAAATGTGATAATAAACGGAGTCAGAAAGTGAGCAACTTACTGTCGTCTTCCTCATCTTCACTCTCTTCCTCATCCTCATCATCCTCCTCTAAAATATCAGGAGTAGCAAGAGGGTCTCCCCACTGGTGAGTGGCGTGAGGTGGTGGGTACAGGGCTTTGACCAGGGTCTTGTCGTCTACGCTCAGTACGGACTGATGCTGTCTTGGCAGCCATCCCTTAACGTAAGGTCTGAGGAAGAATTAAGTGAATGTTGGGGTTCACAGGAACGAATATGAATCGTAGCAAAATAAACTGGTTAATTACTTTTTACGGATGGAAACATTGCAAAATAATTTTTAAAGGTGATTCTGATTTTCTATCCCGGTTTTGACTCAACTATTTTCAGCTATTGATACTTAGTATTACCAAAATTCTCGCTTATAAAAACCAGCGTTAAGAACGATAAAACATCGCTTTTCTGTAATGGTGTAATATCAGCTCATATCTGGAGATCATAACTTTTACTTGATAACTATCAGCTCCTAAAGTAGGTTGCCTGACGTGTTGGAAGGTTCAATCATTTCAGTACTACCAAGAAATACCAATTAAATCCGAATGCAATTAGACATCGGTGAGATATCAGGTTTACAACATATTGCTCATATTTCGTATTTTTTATGACACTTTGTGCCTAGTTATAAAATACCATCATTATAGTCGACAGTGTAAACATGATGATCATTATGCTGAGGTGGATTCGGTCTCCTTTTCGACAGTATGCCACCATGTGGTGCCTAACCCTTGTCAACTCCACAGATCTGACAGACTGCATGACTGTCAGATATACTGACTGGGTGTCTAATAAAAACTGGGTGTCCAATAAAAACTGGGTGTCCAATAAAAAATCTCCGTAGCGCTCCTAAAGTCTAACTTATAAACCAGCTACAATGTATGTTATACCCATTATAAGAGTTAACCCAGTAGATCTACCCTACGGCTGTTTAACTTTTGCACTTTTGAACGAATCTTTATAAAATTAGATCTGTCAAAGTAATGACTAGAGCGGTCTACCCGTTAAACACTAAAGTGCTCAGGCTCACCAGCTGCAGGAGAGAGAGGAAGAGTTTATTAAACCTCTGGGCTGGCTAAGCAGTATAGTGGTCAGAATAACTGCAACAGCGATGTGATATTTCCGTGAATATTATAGAAAACCAGAAAACTGATTTCTCACAGAATAATCACTGACGTTGTCATGATTACCATTTCAAAGTGTGCGTCATGATGAGGATTGAGGAGCATAGTTTACCTTTTGAAAGTCTGCGTCATGATGGACAGTCTATCAAAGTTGTCGTTGTTGGAGCAGGATTTCTTGTTGAAGATGTTAGTTCGGGTCTGTTCGGTAGTCCAACCAGCCTCCATGGAGGTGTCCAGTTGCACTCCAGCTTCATCAAACTCAACCTCTTCTGGCAGGCACTGAAATTACTGAGAATTAGTCAATTTGGTGTGGCCAGTGATTTTTTATCACTGCATTGAGATAAATAAAAGGTTATAAGCTTGTCTAGTCATTGAAAACTTATGATAATATGTACTAAACAACTTTATCAACCATATAGGTATTTATATATCGCTATATTGTTAGCAAAATACTCAGGCAATAAAAAGTTGGGAGCTGATAGCTGGTGATAGTTGTTTCATGTTATCGTAACAAGTAAATGTTGAGCATTTAAAGCATTTATACTTGTAGTCAAGTATGAAATCGGACACAGTTTAAGAGTAATAGTATTGCAGATCGACCTAGGCAGTATTGCAGTATTCTTAACAGGTATTTAAAAGTGATAAAGATCGTAAATAAATTTCGTGGATTTATTGTATTGCTCCCTTCATCAAAAAGATATTTGAGATCGTAAAAGTTCAATTTTACACAAATAATAATAATCTTAAAGGGTGTTGTACTCTAGTCTCTACAACTACCTTTATATAACTGCGGTATTAAACCCCCCCCCCCCCCCCCCCCCCCCCCAATAAAACCAAGCAGAGTCAGAATCCCCAATATAAGGATCAGCTAGATACACTCAATTTTAATTTGACGATCGCTTAGTTTTACCTCAAACTCGTGATAAAGACCGAGAGCGTGACCGAACTGATGCAGAACTCGGCGTCTGAAGAGAACTGGGTGCGTGTCACGTGATATATTCAGGTACATCGTCGGTTTGTCGTCAGGGATATCTTCCGCATCCGTTCCTAAGATAGACCCATCAGTGAAATATAGAATACATATTATTTTTCGCTTCAAGTTCAGACACAGGTCAACTTGGTCGTTTTAAAATAAATTATTCTAAAATTTGTAACTCGTTGCCATAATTTGAAGATTAAAATAGATTAAATAACTACATATAACTTTACGAACATACCGATAGCACACTGATTTCTGGAGCTGAACTTGATTCTGATCTGCGCATCCCGGTGGGCGTCTTGAGGAACATGCACCAGTTGTAGACCGGCATGATTCTCCCATTCTTTGGCTATATCCATAACCTGAAAATTTAAAGTTTATAGATCTGGATTATATTCCGGTAAAACGTCTGCATAGCTCTTTAAATAATTGCCATGTTTTCGGATCTAATTATAGCCATTATGGAACACGGCAGACTGGTTCCATCAATCTAAATCAGCAAAACCCATTATTTATGGTAAAAGAAAAAATGTTTCTAGTTACCTTGCTTGCAAGTCCCCTGTCCTCTGTCAAGAACTTGACAAGAAGTTGAGGAAGCCTGTGCCAAGTCCTGTTGTGTTCGCACTTCACCCCGAAACGAGGTTTGGGATCTACTGTGTAACAGTAGTCGTCGAAGGCGAATGAGCCAGTCATGGCTGCATCAGGGATGTCACAGAGCTGGAGGAAATGGTTACATGATCAGTTTCAGTTGCATTTTATCCGTGGTAAAGGTACATTGTTTTTAAATTTCCATCTTAATAGAACTTCCAGGTTCAGCCAAAAAAGCCAAAAGTTTAACACCTGATCCTAAAATAACTGTCACCATTCTTTTTACCCTTAATTATGGTTAGACTACATCAAACGGTTCTACAAACTCACGTAACTTAATTTACAGATCTATCAGTGATTTCCACGAAATACTTACATGCACAAGAGGTATGGAGGCAACATGAGTCTCATCAGGAGACCTGATAATCTTGATAGCGGGGACGTGCTCCAAGTTAGCATCGTCAGCACTTCCGGTTATGTTGTAACTCTCTAAGCTGATGTCAAACTGCAGACACTTGGGCAGCTGGGGTCCGTCCGAGAAGAACTCGCTGGTATCCAGATACTGCGGAGATGAGAAATTCAGAGAGATTTATTTGAGATCAGTCGGTAGAAACAGATCAAGTACATAGAAATAAAGAAGCAATCCACCCTTGGGTTCCGATAAACAGGATATCGTATTTAAGAACAAGAACTCACAGCTTCCTGGTTGAGTAAATCTATTCTGAACTGAGATCCAGGCTTTGCTTTGATGGAGACAGGGTTGCAGAGCATGACACTTGGAGGATCACTGTTTACTTCGTGGTTGCAGATGATTTTGAAACTTGCGTTGTCGTCCCATCGCTCTTCAACGTTCTTCTGTAAGGAAGTTGTGAATTTAATAGGTAGTTTGCCCGTTGTGATCTTTGAGGTTGTGTTGGGTTAAAGTAAAGATGCCAAGAAGCGAAACACATTTTAATTTGTCCGTACTTTACTACTTTATGTGCAAAATCATTAATTCTCAACTCAGTGTGAGCCATTCATGCCGCCATTCACAGTTGAGTTGTACCATTTATCTACTTAAACAGTTGCCCTTACATTAAGCCCCGACCTCAAATTAATCTCCTAACTTCCATCCAAAAATCAAGACAGGGTTATTCGAGTTGAAATAGCACACACGACATATGAACACAAAATACAGGATCATCGTCTGATCGTCCATAGTCAGCTTCATACGACAGGTGACAAGTCAAATATTGTCGTTCAGTGTCTCGGATCAGCTCGAACTTCACCGATACGGAGAAACAGGACATACATTTTAGAATTTGTGACCTGACGTGTCTGCATATGTCGTTAGATCTTAACCATCATATGAATTGAAAACTACAAACCATTGCTCCGGTCATTTCCTCCCTGGGGTAGAAGTAAGTCCTGAGTACGACAGCCAGGTTGGTCTGACTCCTGTCCATTTGTCCGAAGACGGTGCAGTAGAAGTCCTTGGGTCGGTTACTCATGCTTCCAGTTCTACCCAGACTCAGGGTAGACCTAAGTCCGCCTCCTGTCTTACGGCGGGAGAGTGAGCTCATGTCTGCTGAACGAGAAGTAGAACTTCGTTACACTGTCACTTTTACAACTTAAATATTAAAATCAATGGACAATGGGTGTATTTTAACTGCTTTTAGAATTATTTTGACCATTTTTGGGAGTACTTTTACCAGACTGTACTCAAAAGGTGAGTTAATGAGAAATGAAGACAGTCAGATAACAACAACCTAAGTATATGCACTTAGGTTGTACTTATATATTACACTGTGGCACGTTCAGAGGAGCAACGAATTAAAAAGTAATCGACGAAATCTGTAACAAGGACAGAATTATGTGCAAGCTAAAACTAAGTGTTATCACATGCAGGCGCCATAGAAACCATCTCAACGCAGGACAACGTCTTGAATGCGCTTCAAGTGTTCCTTGTTAGACGTTTGTTAATTATTTGCAGGCGTTTTTCACGTGACATATTGCTTGTGATTATGTGGTGAGTAGTGATTGCAGCTGCTCAGCCGCCGTGGTGGAAGTGTCTGACGAACTGATGAGCTTATTGGACCAGATTCAACTGTTGGAGCACACTTCTCAGATCTCTGGTTGAACTAATAGCTCAATGGCATGTACTACGCTGTGCTTTTGATAAAATGCACATGGAGATGGGATATTTCTTTTCATTACATCTTACATCTTATGCTAGCTCCAAAATATACTCCCAAGTTCTTCAGAACATAGTCTCAACCAACGCTATTGGATATGGACGAGATCATTCGTCCACAGTCATGACATTTCTACATGTACTATTGGGAGATACAGCCCTGCGACATTGACTAAAGTTACTCGGCAGCATTACCCACCTCATTACGAGCCCTAATCCCTCTCCTAGGCTCGCTAATACCCCTCCCTAACTCTCACAACCACCTCCATCCTCTCCAACTACAATACCCTGAGCCTCACTCCCGGAAGTGACCCGCGCCTCTAATCCCCGCTGATTTTCCCGACTTATCCCCCAGCTCTCAGAGCTGCAGTAATAACAAGTGGGCACGTCCCGCCTGTTAACCCCTTACTTTGGATACTTTTTCACTTAGTTGCCAACTAGGAAGTAGGGCAGAGGAGGGGAGTCCAATCGCGTGCGGATCGTATGGCTGGCTGTAACCTTAATCATTACCTTACTTTCCTTTCTCTAAGTATAGTCGGTAAACTGGGCTGTTTATTTTTACGTGATCAGACCGCAAACAGTGGAGTTTCCTCCTCAGCAGCACTCCGTGACCTGCTCTGACCACTGATTATCAGAAAATAGGAGGTCCGTTAATCTGGTAATCTGTCAGGTCAAAACTCTGCGGGTAGAGATACTGGTTAGATTAACAGGGGGTGAAAGAACAGGAAATTGCCATGGAAAGCTAGTATGTTTATAGCACGCTCACCAGATAAATGGTTATTAGATACCCACAAGTTAAGATTAATTCTGTAGATATCAACCATCCCTGACCACTGATCTCGGAACTTTTAATCCTGAAACTATGAAATTGAGTGGTCCAATAATTCTGTGACGATGGTTGCGATCTAATTGAGAAGATAATATTGATAATCTACAGGAAAAACCACCAGAATTAAGAACAGACAGTAGATTACAGGACCGGTTCTTGTAAAAATGATATAAAAAGCCTAGTTAATTTATCTCGTAAAAAGGCAGGGATTATAATTACGTTATTTTCATATTTTCAAGAATAAAGCTGAAGTATGGTTTCAAGAGTGTTACCCCAATCTTAGATTAGGTATTTTATGGAGTTAAAGCGCTCAGGTGAGTAATGAGTATAACTATAAGTATAAGCATTATCTGCAAAGGTGTTATGGTTATATCGTTTATGGACACGTTCATTGAAGTTTGAGGATATTGGTAAATTTAAAAATTAGCTAATACAGGCACTTGGTTATTGGGAAATGAGGTAAATTTTGTCACATTATATGAAATTTTCAATTTTGGGCGAATTGCCGGAATCATTTATATCTTACTTTAGTTTAAAAGGCGGGAAAACTCTATTATATAAGGAAGATAGAGTTGATTTAAGTTGAGGGTAGTTGATGCGAACATTGTCACAAGAATGATACGAAATCGTAAATAGGTCAACATTAAATTTCGAAAAATGAGAACCATATCTCGTATCGATTATAATTCAATATTCTTCCAGAAATGATTGGTAGGTTATTATTCAGCAAATTGGAACTCAAGTTTAACAATGTTGAGGTTAATTTTGCTTAGTTACCGAAATGTGACAAAATTCACTTTTCCTGCCCAAACAATAAAATTTCATTGTGACTGCAAAATTGGCGCGATGAGTTTCTATATTTCCTGTATAAATCAATTCAAACTATAATAAGAACAGTTGATGTGAAAGAAAATGTATCTAACTTTTACAATAACTTATGTGACGAAATTTACATTTCTTGCCCCTGCCCCCGATTTTGAAGAATCATACCTCGATTAGAATATAACGATCCCTTACCATCATACCTATGTCGATAAACTAGTTATTTTGCCAACAAGGAGCAATTAATAGAGTTTTAATATGTTTTCGACAAAATTGACATATTTTAAACATGTTGAGATGTTTTAATTGTGTCAATGTTAACAAATTAATGTGACCGGTGCGTGGTTGCAATAAAGTTGATTGATCCATACTACGTAATTATATAATATGGTGTTTAAGCTGGTATACCAATATTTGCTCAATTTTAAACACGTTCATGAGATATCATACAAATATATTATGTGACCAAGTTTACCTATTTGAGCCTCATGTGTTTTTATTTGCTTATAATGATGTATTCTAACAATTCTCAACACATTCAGGTCAAAAATAATGCTAGATTATTCGGCATTCCTTATCAGGGTGTCATAAACATCCCTCGTATACATTTCTTAAATGTGTGACGGAATTGACGAGATGGTACCTTTTAACGAAAAAAGTCGCTAAATATGTAGATAATTGTCATATGGAACTATCCTATGAACTGGAAATTCGAAATTTGGTCAAACACGACAGCAGGATTTTTATAGTGTGACAATGTTGGCATCTCACTGCCGGCCGAATTTAACCGATATCTTATCATCTGATAATGATATCGTTATGTGACAAAAATTTACCTAGAGGATGAGACGATTGTCCTAACTATGGAGGATTTACATCTCATAGTGTGACAAATTTTACCTCATCGTGCCATTTAATAGGCCCACTAATATTTGCCAATATCCTCAAGCTTCAATGAGCGTGTCCATATATATCGAAGAGTCGGGGATCACAACGTCGTAAGATACCTTGTCTTTTACCGGCAAAAATACCGCAAATGTCGTCGATCCAGGTCAATGGTGGCTCTTTAAGTTGATCTCACCTCTTAATGAATATAATTTAATAGCAGCGTTAAATAGGATTATCATAGATTAAGCTGTTCTAACTTCCTCAAATAACAGTTTAGATCAAGGTGAACCATTGCGTCCAATCATAGCGTTTGGTAAGATAGATAAGAGCCAGAGGGTGACGGCGAATAAGGTTTAGAAGCATGAATTTGTCAAACTTCTAATAGAGCTTCTGATTTTCTAGTATAAATCGTAATGAAAAACATGTGCCACAACCCCGGCCCAGCACGAAAATAATGCCTCAATTTTCAACAGCTGATCAGGGTCTAATGAATTGGTTCTCATTTAGTGCATGATCTGATGATGAAGTTTGGGTGTGATTTGAGGTGAAACTGTTAGGTGTATGCATATTCTGATTGCGAAGTTCACCTATATTGAGGTGTTATTATTGCTCACCCAAATTGTAAGGCGAACAAAAGTCATATCCAATAAATCCATACATGGAAATTGGAAAATCGAAAATTAATAATTTGATACCATCTGAAATGAAGTGCACTGTGGAGCTTAATGTCAAGGTGAAAAGTCTTTTAAAAAAACACTATATTCAGCCCATTATTCTGACGATTTCTTCCAACACTTCTCTCCACTATCTCATGACATGCTCACTACAGTTCCTCCCACCCTACCGTACCAGGAACTGAACCTGCCTAGTGCTATCAGGGGTGCGGCAACCCAACATGCAACTTTACCCTGCCGGTTCCTGGGACCTGACCTCTCAACTTCTCTCCGGCTCTCAAGTGTCACCATCACCTCACTCCTTCACGTCACCAGGTACTGGATCTTAACCAGGAAGTGTGGACCAATTAGCGCTAACAAGGTCAACTATAGCAGCTTCATTAGAATACTGAAACATAATCCCAGACTGCATGAGGGGTATTTGTACCGTTATCGCTCTATTCAATCAGAACTTTTTAATTGTAGATATTGTTCATGTTGATGCGCCATCAAAATGGATGTTTTGAGACTGTGTGATTTTGATTTCTCGCCTAAATATTTGGAGGCTGATAGCTCACGGCTGCTTTTCAAGGATCAACCTCGATCAGACATCATTTATTGAAGTACTTAAATTTGCTCTGACCTGTTAAACTTGAGACCTCACCAAATTACTGGATGTCCAAGAGATTTCGTTAAAAGATTATATGACCGTTTAGGCTTAAATGCTTCCAGCGCTAGCTACTTTAATTATATGCCCCCGCTGGTAAACAACTGATATAATAACGTCGTAACGCGGTCTGAATTCAGGATATATCGTGGTAGCTGATCCGAGATGGCGAGCTGACCATCGACGTCCGCGGTCCAGCCATTTCATTACTCGATTTTTAGAGCACCACGCAAGTCAGACCGATATGAGTTAAAGCGATCGTCTGAACCGACAGGCTAGAATCCTCGAATGCTTATAGTTAGTGCTGTGATGATTGTAGTGGGCTGAAATATGTACGGAATGTTTGATTGCGTCGACTTCCTGGAGTCAAACTACGCACGTCCTTGTTAGGGACTTTTCGTGACCGACGAGCGATTAAAATCGTTATCTTCTCCCTTTTGTTCAGCCGAGGCCAGTGAACGCTAAGTTGTTTACAAATGAAGGGAAACTCGGCAATTAATCCGCTCTAAAGGCAGCCGGCTTGGCGGGCGGCGCCAAATTGACCGCTTGCCGGACAAAAGTGTTGTTGTAATCAGGTGGGAGGTTGCTCCCCGCGAGAGATAATGCTTGTTGTTCACTCTAATTTTCATAGACTTCCCTGTTTAATGTCTACTCTTTAGTCAGTTCAATACACTAAGGTACAAGAATCAATACCAAATGTGTAATCATGAAACTCAGTAATCGTTTTCGAGGCCTAAAATTTATCTTTATTGTTCACTCTAAATCTGAGTTCCGGCTGCACTGCAGTCTCCGACATCCGACTTATTGTCCGGGCAAACAAAACATATGCTAATTAGTGTTTACTGATTAGTTAGCTGCGAGCAGTTAGCGCAGATCCGGCCGGTAAGAGTAAGCACCTCGCTATTGTAGCGGGGCAGTCACGTGATCACGCACATGCTCGTGACGTCACGTCAGCTCAAGGGAGCAACCTCTCCTCGCGCCGCGCGCTTTTCACAATCTCATTATCGAGATATTCTCCCCTTCTTGCGTCCGTTGTAACAGCTTGCTATTTGTTTAGGCTAACGTTTATTGAAAGTTTATGACACCATGGAGTCTTCTGGATACAAGATTAGCAACCGGTCAAATCCTTTTTCCGTCAATTCCCTGCTGTCTGATAGCAGCCTGAAGAAGTTCCATCCTTATCTAAGACAAAGTAAGTATATAAGTTGGACACAAAGCCCAACACAAGTCTCGTTCACTTATTAATTTCTTTTGTGTTTTGTATATAAAGTGTTAAACTTAATGTTAACTTCTCCTCGTAATCAAACACTTATTATTCAAACGGCCCTCGAATATAACTTGAATGTCAACAAATTTTCGATCTGCAACAGCTGTAAGTTTGTAAACCTTTGCTTAGTGCGCCTTTCCCAAATGAATTAACTTGAATTCTGAAAAATTTCTTTGAAAAATAAGTCAAATGATTGTAACAAAAATTGTGTTATGATTCAAAATTAATAATCAGTTGGGGATGACAATGATTCTGAATAAATTGTATTGAGAACATTATGTAGAAAGCAGGTAGTAATTAATAATGATTTTCGGGAACTCTATGTTGTAACATGAAGTAGCTGCTTAACTGTTATGATTAATGCAACCTTTTACGATGATTTACTCATATATATCAAGATCTCAGCTTTTTATTGTGGTAGCTCGCCAGTTCATTATTTGTTACCATTCGCTGCTGCTGTCTGGTTCACTGGTTGAAGCTACGGTTTTCGTTTATGCTATAAAATTGTTAATCTTCTTCTGTGGAAGATCAAGTCTAGACAATGATATGATTTGTTTCTAATTCTATATCTTGCACATTATGTCACGTTGAATATTTTGGGTGTATCATATCCGTATCGTTGTTGTTAAGTAAGATAAGATATCACATCAGAACGTGTAATTCACAACGGTTTATAACTAACTTGAAGTTGAATTAAAGTTCAATCTAATTTGTAATTCAGCTAAGTAAGCAGCAATTTGAAAACTTGCCAAAACACTATTACCACGCGCTCGGTAACCCTTTTATTTAAAACCCTCTTTTCTCATCCCTTTAGTCACCCACCAAGTAGAGTTTGACACTTTACATTTCCGCACTCTACTCCTCAACCATCATCTAATAGTAGTAAGATTCTTGGAACTGGCTGCAGCGCCGGGTATAAGGGCTCAATTGTGACTGTCTGGCCCGCCCTAAAATGAACAATTTCACCGAGGGGTGATAAAATTGATACCTCCAACATCCTCCCGAAAGGCAGAGAGGGCACCCTTGTTTACTTTAACCCGCCTCCGATCACACGTTAAACAGGAAACTTGTTACAGGCCACCCTGTCTACCGCTACCTCAAACGACTCATGACGAAATACATGAAGTGTGTGTATTGCGGTGGCAATTTGTTTGTTTAAGGGGGATTGGACCAGAAGTTAATTGTAACGGGGTTGTCAAGGTGTCAAACATTTCAAATTAATCCTGGTGAAGTAAGACTGGGTTACAAATATATTTGTTATATGAAACTCCCGTTTTGATACTTTTTAATTGGAGAAGCTTTCATCACTAATTAATTTATCAGCACTGCTTGATGGGTAGTTTCAGCGTTAACACTCTTCCTGGTTAATCAATCAGTAATCAGTAATCAGTCACCTGACACAGTGTCTCTTAAAATGATAAATATAAATGAGAGTTATAATTTACGAAACCAGCGGGATGCTTATTGCTTAACTCAAAGCAAAGGTTGACTAAATAATTGGCACAATTAAAGTAGCTTATGGTTATTTTGTCTCATGCAGTAAGTCAAAGTGGTAACTGCTTGTGCAATAGATGAATTCACGTGTCTGTTCGTATACATGTGATAAACGCAGTTTCGTGATCAAAGCAAAATCTTAGCATACTTAAACTCTTTAAGTTACCCAGTTGCCAAGGCAGTTGTAGTGAGGCTTTGATCAGACGAATCCTCCACTTTTATAAATTGCAGTTTCAATTCCAATGTCACCGCTGTGATCAGGGAACAGCTGCATAAATATTCCGCATAAACTACACAACTACTCTATTCAGCCAATCACAGTTGTTAATTTCACTTCCAGCATGCGTTTCGGCCGTTGGCCCAAATTTAGTTACCGACATAGTCTCATATTGAATCGATGTCGTTGAAATTTTACTAAATAGGTCTTTAGATTGAGCAACACCCCATAAACAGATAAATACTAAACTTATCGCAGCGATGCAACAGAATATCTTAATTTGAATCTTAGAATCTCAGCGTTATTACTCATATTGGCGATTAAAATTATCAGTAGACTGATCCTCCAATCTTTCAGGTTCCATGTTCAGAAACCTCGACCTCTCCATGCTAGGTCCGAGGATCGAGCTGCCCACTCTTGCTCCTCCCAACCCTCCTTCCCCTGTCACTCCCGCCGGACAAGGGGTTCAAGTCAGCTTGGAGAACAACGAGCTGTGGAAGAAGTTCCATGCTCTGAACACCGAGATGATCATCACTAAAACGGGCAGGTTCGTCATCCTTCAATTGTACTCATCACAATATTTTTATTATCTTCATGGCTGTTTTGCCCTCATTTTCTAGACTGGAATAGTCTAAAATTGAAAAGACTAAGAGCCGTGCACAGATCTTTGGCCCCCCTCATAAGTCTTCCCGGCAGCAATTGATTGTATTTCAAACCACGCGTTCTAAATCTTTTCAACTAATTGGCTTGCCACGTGGCTAAGAGAATGGGTGATTTATTCATGAGCACGGACACTGTTTAATTAATGGTCCCTTAAAAAAGTGCACCCAAAGTGATTGTTAGGTGACAATGGGTGAAGCATGTGACGAGCAGGCAAAACCAGCCCTCCCTCTATTGTTTATCAGCAAGCTATCCGCCTCAATGCCCTGTAATCTAGCCCAATTATCTCAGTATATAGCTGTAGTGACTCACTGGGCTTAAAGTGCCACGTGAACGACCTCGTCACAGCACCCCTACTGGATAATACAGCATTGTTGTACGCGATCGTTATGTGAATGAGAAATTAGACTAAAGATACTGACTGCTGTTGAACACAATGCCTAGATCCTGGAGGCTGGGTGAGATTTGTGGCAGGAGATGCCATGATACAGGGGATCCCTACCCACCTGACCCTCCACCAACCGCCCATTGTGGGAAGACATCGGGACCAACCATAATAGCTTTAATTTAGCTGACGGGTACTAACTTTGACATCTTGGACAAAGCCTCAACGGGCTGTAATGACAGCCAAGAGTCTTTAATTCCATTGATTATGGGTACAATTATTTCATAAAGATAATAGGCATACAGAGTTCAAAACGCTGGCGAGGTTTTAGCTTGACGAGAAGTGCATGTGTCCCCTGTTGCTAACAATGGCAACTCTTTGTTTGGGCTCGAAATTGATATCATTTAAGTCACCACGGTACGTGCAAGATGGCATTGTGCGAGCTGGTGACAATATGCTTGGCTATAGATGATGCTCCATCCTTTATCAGCAGGCTCCAGAACAGAAAAATGGGACCGTTTGTACACGCACAATGACTACATGATAATAGACACTATAAACTTATAAACGCACTGTACAACACTAAAACACCAACAAAGATCACAAGTGGCGCTCAAAGTCTTTTTGTTACTTTGTTGAAATTAAGCTTTTATTTCTTTCAGGAGAATGTTCCCGCCAATTAAATTAAAGCTCAACGGACTGAACCCAAATAGCAAGTACATCGTGCTCATGGATATGGTACCGGCTGATGATCACCGATACAAATACCAAAACTCTGAATGGGTGAGTCAGACAGAAAATCATGCATTTTATATAATCAACAAATCGGATTCCACACATGTTCCACTGAAGAAACAAAAAAGCTTGATCTTGATATTTCAGATATTTTACATTTCAACTATTCAGGTGATAGCAGGGAAGGCCGAGCCGACAGTTCCCGGACGAATGTACATCCACCCAGACTCGCCAGCCACCGGTCTTCAATGGATGAAGGGCCCCGTCACCTTCCACAAAATGAAACTCACCAACAACACCCTAGACCAACAAGGACATGTTAGTCACCATTTTCATTTCGTTTATCTTATAATACTGTTAGATAGTCAGTAATTGGTCCTTCAACTATAATATGTGATTGTGGTATATGCAGATCGTTTAATAGCAGCCTGCTTCAACCATGCGTCAATCGTGTGTTAAGTGACCGTTTATAGATAACACATAGTCACTTTATTTGAATATAAATCACTTCGAGTTCATAACATCTCACAGGCCAGCTCATTGCCGCTTCATACAACCGCACTAAAACGCACTGATAAGCTCTGGCTCCACTATGATTGAGTTTATTGTGGGAATTTTCGCCTCGCCCGGAAAACAGTTACAGGACTCCATTAACGGTCTGGTGGTTGAGACCGCACTGCACTGGTGTTCCTGCTTAACCTCTCTCTCACTTCTCACTGTCCAAACTCTCACTCTCTCAGAGGAGGAGACCGTTAACTGACCGCTACTTGACCACATTTTAGGAGGAAGTTGCCTGATTCGCCGATTAAGTCTTTGGGTTCGTGTGAGCGGATAACAAGATATTGGTAGGATAGATCGAGTGAGAGTAGTTTAAATTGCGAGATAAGTAGCCACTAAGTTGGTGAAACTTCATACTGATTACAGCAGAGTTGTGCTGATAACTTCATAGCGAGAAGTTCAGAAAGATAGAAGTTATTAAGAAACTTTGTCTTAGATGAGGTGTTTATACTCCATGAACTACATAAAAGTTTAGTGTTCTCTGATTTAAGGGTAATAAAAAGGAATTACTAAGTTACTACATGCTTCATTTCCTCTGTTGTTCTGCACAAGATGCCATCCTTCACTTCAGAAAACCCCAAACTGACAAACACCTCACTATTAGGGCGTGTTCGTCACACTGTTTCCTCTCAAAAGTGTCAGCTGATCAGAACTGCACTTTTCCTACACGTGACACAATACCGCATTCCCAGCCATTAGCTCCTTTCTTCTCAGGGTCCTGACCATGCAGGAAACAACAGCCCTCCACACATTATATCCAGTTACATTTGAGTATTTCTTAAAAATCTCCCGATTAGGGCTCACTCATTACTGTCATCTCACAAGAAGGGGGCTCGACGGTAATGGCCCTTTTCCGTCTGCTCTAGGATCCTGCCCTGCAGAAAGGTTCACGCCTTACCTGACAAATGTGGGGCTTTTTGACAAATTCTCCAACTTACCTGATCAACGTTCGACATGAACTGAACTTGATTTGCAACAGGGTATAAATTTAGACGGCTCTTGTTCGACGAGTAATGGATCTGATGTAAACCCGCGTGGTTTGAGAGTAGATTTAACCATAGTTAACTGTCATAACGGTTCCCAAACTGACAGGTAAAGTTGAGCCACAGACACTATGAGTTTGATCTTGTGTCATCGACTCCTCATTAATTTCATACTTGGGAGCTCGAACAGGGGTCTTGACAGGTCTGGAGAGCAATAGAACAATGTGATTATGAGCAGCTAGTGAGAGCCATTGGGCATGACAAAGTACCAACAAGTTGTGCGGGATTAACAGTTCCATTTGTCAAATTCTCTGATCAGATAAGGTTGACGGAGGGGGTAGTGATGTGGAGATTAACTCAATAGCCCAATCATGAGGAACTTATCAGGTCATCCAACAAGAGTTCTCACAACTCTCACGGACATTTTATGTATGATCTCACTTTATAGCTTTACAAACAAACTTTGTAATATAATAGTAATCAGATTGATCAGATGAATAATGTAACATATTTTCAGATCATACTGAACTCGATGCACCGATACCAGCCGAGGATCCATGTGGTGGAAGCAAATGACATCAAGTGGCTGCAGTTTGCCTCTTTCACCACTGTATCCTACCCTGAAACTGTGTTCATGGCAGTTACTGCTTATCAGAATGATCAGGTATGAAATGAAACAGACTAACAGAGTGTTTTGTTTAAAGTTTCGTACAAAATCAGATGGATCAAGATGATAGAAATGTTTCATAACCACAGTTTAAATTTCTTGCAAAAAAATTGCATTTTAAAGATTTTAATATTTAAAACAAAAGATAATGTCGTGTACAATACATAATCTAAACTTCCAACATATTATTCGAGTAAATAAATTTTAACAAAAAACCTTCCCGCAGATAACTCAACTGAAGATCGACCACAATCCCTTTGCTAAAGGATTCAGAGACCTGTGTTCCAACAAAAATAAAGACAAGTAAGTTACTCTCCTTCCTCCTTTTCCTCTCATTTCCCTCACAAGCATCTAATATTTACAATTTACATGTGACTTGCCTGTGTAGATGTTCATTCCATGGCACACAATATATACATGGGGCATTTGATACCGTTAACCGAACTAGTTACATAAAAGGGAACCTGTATTTTGATCCCAGTTTTCGCACCTCTAAATTAGCTCAGACTGAAATACGCCTCTTCCACCCAACAACACGGGGAAAATACTCAATTAAAGTGGAAGAGGCTGAAGTTACTTTTATCTTTTAGCACCTATGATCAAATAAACCCAAGCTTGGTTTTGGGTTACATATAATTCAAAAATTGTTGCAGCCCTGTCACTCAACCACCCCATCGTAATTGGGCCAAAGAATGTGCAACTCTAGTAAAGCCTTTGATGCGTATAACTTTTAATTGAGTGCCACCTCGAAGTGGCAATCACGAGATAACCGAGCTGGAATTATCAATAACACTCTAATATATCTTGTAACGAAGTACTACCGGAACTATTCTCATCAATATCACGAGCATGAAGTTGACTCGTTAAGTCAGTTAACCACCGACCGTTACTAGAATCAAAACACCAACTCTAAACATGTAATTTCCACAGGAATCAAGCCAGAAGCCCGACCCAAGTGAGCAGCACTACATCAGACCATCAGTCCCCTCAGAGGCTACTCACTGAGCCGTCTGGCAAATCTCCCGAACCTACCATATCAAGTAAGTAACAGTAGGACAGACACAAGCTCCCAAACTATTATAATAGTCTTTTACTCTCTGAGAAACTTATTGAAAGATAGTATTTCTGCTATATCTCCTAACTAATTTAAAGCTTGTTACCATTTTAACCAGCACCAATAAATCCTAACAGACATCCTCCTCCCAGGTGAGAGACCGTTACCAGGAGGATTTGACACCTCCCCCACGTACGTTCCCGCCATGTACCCAGGCTCCCTTCCCTCCACACTCCACCCTCCCACCATGCTGCAACTCAAGGACTCCCTGATAGCTAGCCATCACTCTCTCCTAGCTACAGCTGCCAGCACTCTCCTGAACAAAGCGGCCGCTTCCCAGCTACTCCAAGCGACTCCCCCGACTCTTAGTCTCCCGCAGCCATTTAAGCTGGATCTCAAGCAGGCTCTGGAAGCACTTGCTCAGCAGGTTTATATCTGACATATTACTGACTCCATATCCTAGAGATCTTAAATAAAGTACGAATAGCGTCCAATCAACCGCTGGTGCGCTTGCTTCTTCATTTTTATTGCGATTTCTTGTCTTTATTCTTCAGTAATTTAAGTGAAAGAAAATGCAATTTACCCCGAGCAATTATGATGTATAATTATGATTCCTAAATATAGCATTAAGAAACAGAAAATAATATCGTTGTATATGTCCAGGTTGCTCTGGAGAAGTCATCAAGTCTGCTCAAGCAAACGATAAAGACGTGGAGACCCTGGGAAGACCGCTAATAATCGGCCGATAGCCGCTGTCGAGGCTGATTGCAGAATTAAACAGAATTGTTAGATGAGTCAGATAGGTTGATATTTACGGAAGTCGAGACAAGAGATTCGAGGTCACGAAACAGATGATCCAGATATTACTGAATGTTTATTGGAAGAGAGCCAAATGAACGGACTTGAGGTCTTGCAGAGAGACATGTTTTAGCTGTCATAAAGTTGACTATAATATTTAAATTATTTTTCAGGTTACTGTCCAATTTAATTGATGAAATTTATATTTGTATGTATAGCTCGTGAAATGAAAATATTTAATTTTTCTGACGTATTATGTATCTAAATGCCGACTAAATCGTGTTTTACTTTTGTATGGAGAGATGCAAAATAAAAAGCTGTTTAAAAAAGAGGAGGTCAGAAAACATATTGAATTAACTAAATTATTTACAACTGATTGATTTGTGTGTCGCGATAAATTTATGACATCCCCTCGATCAAAGCGCTTCCAGTTCCAAGACAAATCAACTGCATTTCAAACCTGGCTCAAACCCAAAATTCGTAAGTTTAGTCCACCTCAATTGGACATCAATAAATAAATTCATCCTTTTACACTCACAGTAGATTTTTCTCTTAAAAGAGCACCCCCTCTATTTCTGAAAGCTCGCGATTCAGTCCGAGACTTAGCTTCTCTCGAATCTACTCCATTTGTCCAATCTGCCGCAAAATTAGCCCCCTTGCTAACCTTAGCTCGGTTTCTGTAGAACTGTCTCCGGTATAGAATACCTTGCTCATTCCTAGCGATGGGAGCCACCGGAGTCCCTTCTTTAAGCTTTCTCTTCAAAGTGCTCTCATTTACAGAAAGCGCTATTCTAAATTTAGACATCCAAGTTTTATTGTTGTACGTATCTGACATTTCAATGCAGGCCGCAGCTTTTTCACGTGCCGTCAGCCCATTGTGTACCCACATGCCTGTATTGTAGTCCTCTATTGCCTTAACTGTTCTCCGCCCCTTGCTGCTGGCCACTGAGCTGGTCGGAGAGCTGGAGGCAGTTTTCTTTCTCATCTGAGGAGAGTCTGAGGACTTTGTATTCCTGCTCACATTCGGGAGTACTGGGGTTGATTTCTTGGGTGTGAAGAGGAGGTCAGTAAACTCGACCTTGCCACTGGAGTGTTGTGTTGTGTCCCAGTGTAGTCCCTGTGAAAGAACGTCTCTCTTCATCTCACGGGTTTTAGCTGACGGGCTCCAACTCCTCCCACCGGCACCCTGATAACATATGGCAAAATTACGGCCCAAATTTGGTAATTTTTTATCAAAAACCAGTTCCACAGCTCACCGCAATTGCAATATTTAAACATAGATAAATGAAGGCTGATGACAAGTATGTAGTATTACCCAAGCTCGGCGGTCAGACAGACTTGAGATTGGACGTTCAGCAAGCTTGGCGGGGCAGGTTCTGCACCGGAAATGAATGAGACCGTCAATGTGCATAGCTTTGTCACCTGTTATTGCATCCTTAACTCTGAGGTAACACTCAAGAGATTAGTAATCAAATTATAAATGATTTCATAAAATTGCCTTAGTTAAGTCCTCAAAATGGGTATAAAAAGTACAAACCACAATCTCTTACTTTGGGATGGAAGAACCTGACTCTTTCTTGTTTCTAAAGATTTTGTGTTGAAACTCCCGTCCGAGGTTCTCTTAGACATGAGAGCTACTTTGTCTTTGCCCAGAGCGTGCCACTGCTTTACCTTCATTACCAGACAATAATTCCTAGTAGCACTGTTAAAATCTTAGGAAACAAGGACATGCTTTTTACAATATAAAAACCTTGAAACCCCCAATCTTAGGACACAAGGACATGCTTTCTACGATATAAACACCTTAATAAACCCCCAATCATCTTGAAGAAGCGAGGTCTGGCAGTCATTATATGAAACCAGGAGATTATAAAAAGATAAAAGACTAATGTTCACCGGTAAAGATAATCAGTATCATGAGGAGCCCCCACAAGTTCAGGTATCAGGACCTGGGGTTTGCTCTGTTTTGTGTTTATGTGTGTGATACACTCCGTGTGACCCTTCTCCGTCGCTATAGCCAATGCGTTCTGCCCTTTGTAATTCTGAAATAGACCTGGTATAGACTGCCTTGCCTTGTAAGTGGCCTTTTATCTATTGGGCAGACACAAATTACGCGTACTGCGAAAACATCAAAGGCTTTCTTGCACAATAATACTACAGGCTTAGACTTACTTGCACGATGATGCTACAGGGATAGCGACTCATGAAAAGTCGTAGAAGTTCGAGTCTGCCCTCTTCAGTTGCTTTGTGGACAGCATACAGGTGATGCGTTGGGTCAGACCGGTCACTGCACCATTTCTTACCAGGGTGGTAGCCTGACAAATAAGTTGCTATGAGAACGAGTTCTTTTTTCCCCCTTTTATTCTGTATAGGAAAAAGGATGGTCACATACAATTTTAGAACGCATCACGATCATTGAATGAAAGATATTCCTCACCGACAGGTTCGTCAGCCCGGACACCACCATTGAGCATATCCTCCGCTAGTTCTAATAGTCCTAGGTGAGCTGCCAGGAACATGACCACCTTCATCTGGTAGAACCTGACAGCTTTGTCCTCGTCCAGTAAGTTCTGAACAGCTGGTATGTTGCCTTCAAACGTGGTATTTATCAGAGCTGACCACCCCTTCCATACCTGGTGAAACGTTTGTGGTACTGCTACCAGCCATGAAATTGATTCCCTCTTGGTAGTAAAGTGCTGTGTAACTAAGTTGACAGATTTAAAAAGTACAACTAACCTTAATTTCTGAGCTTTGAACGCAATTTAATCAAAAATTTGTGGTCATCATGATATGGTGTAAAATTTAATCATTGCCAGAGACCGACAGGTATTTTATCACCAATCATGTACGATTGCACTCTTTGACAGGATATTAAAATCACATCTACTCTAACCTGCACATAAATGGTAGCACCAGGCAGGACCCCATAATCGTTACAGCTGTGTTTTGAAAACATCTCCCGACCTAATCCGTCTGCAAGCCTAAAACACCCTGAAGATAATTTCATAAAATCTGTTAACGTTGATGAAATGACAGCAGTTTACGGACCGTGCTGGTCCCGGACGCTTATGAATATGACTGGTGGAAAGATTGATAAATTGTTAATATAATCACATCTGCCAGGCAGTCTGTGCTTGTAGTTAGTTAGTTGATTTAACCACCTACCATCACTTCCTCAGTGGAAGTAAGTAACAACGAGATCTCTCCCACTAACCTAGCGGCAGTCCAGTTCGATACATCACGACCTCCTGGAGCTGGAATATCGTAAGGGACACCACGTCCACGTCGTACAGGTCGATTTTCTGGCCGTTGTAGTTACACCTACAGGGTTTCCGTAAGGGTTTCCTCTAATTTCCACGTTACACCACTCCATTATGAGCTCAGAGGATTAATGACAAGTACGATAACTACTTGGTACGTTAGGTATTCTCAGCTATAAGTGACGGCTAAATGGCTGCCAAAAGGCAGCGCTTAACTCAGCTTAAGTGCCTTGTAGTGACAATGACCTGTGTGGTACGATCCAGTATATTTGCCAGGACTACGTTCGTGCGACATATTATCCACAGCAACCACCTGACGGGGATTCAGTCCGGGCGCCTTTCTTGCCAATCACTTTGATCCAATTTTCATTTCATGAAGCAGTCACGAGCTAAGATAAGCAGTATCACACGAGGTAAATAGTTAAATATGGGCAGGTTTAATAGTACCGGGCACTACAACACAACTATTACTAACATTATGTGTAGGTTAGGGATTGGTTCCTGTTCTCTGAGTCGGCAGTGGAGGGATGCCCCGTATGGTATCCCCACGTCTCTGATGATCCAGGGTCCGGACAAGTCTGCTCCACTGTGGAGTAGTCTGATGTTTTGTTGGGGATCAAGCTGGTATTTTGTCCTTATTGACTCCTGGATGGGTTTTGTTTGGACAATCTGGCTCATTTTAGATATTCAACCTTATATGTTAGATTATGTCTAGTTAAATATGCATTGTAAAATGACAGGATATGTATATCTTATTCTTGACGAACTGCAACAGTCACTTTTAATCTTAGCGCTCATTAAAGCGACCATCTGAGTTTACCAAGAACTCAAGGAAATTATACTATCCACGTACATATACAGAAACCTGCAAACCAGGTAAATTATATCCCGAATCTAAATACTTGATTACCTTCAATTGATCCACTGTTTGCGCATCTCCTATTTGCCATGGGATAGAGCGTCCATTGTAGAGGACAAATATCTTCATACTTCGAACTAAAAGGGTCGTTTATAGAGCTGATTAGCAAGACGTCAAAAGCAAGACTCCTTGCAATCAATTATCGAATGAAAGCAGCAACAGCATTGCTCAGAAAACTATGGTAAGCTCATGCAACCTGCTCATAATACTGGGTTAATGATCTGCATCTAGAGCACAGTGTATCAATTAAACGGAGGATGTGCCGTAAAACGTTTTAGGATAGGTTGAGCGAGATGTTACCGGTACGAAAGTGTACTTGGCATCCAATCGTTTGGCTCTGTATGGGGGTGGTTAAAAGTATAATACGTCGCTGTAAAACAAACCGTTTACACTGTGGACCGCTAAAAACACTTAACTTTTTTACGGTATTCCCATTTAACCTGTTGTGAATAAAATGCACGATTTTGAGTGGGTATGGTATGCAAAACCTGCGAACATGGCACGTCTATTTCAACATATTCGCTTTGTTGTTAACGCTTATTTAACTGAAACAATAACTAAAAATGAATAACCAACAATAACAACCTTCTTTTCGTATGAAAAGTTATATTCGGAGTTTAAAACTTAAACAAAATGAGATTTTACAGAATTAAGGAAAACGAAACACTCTCGACTCCTTCACAATCATTACATTATTATGATTGGAAATCAAGCAAACATTTGAAAATAAAGTATCGTGATTAAAAAACCAAACTGTAAACATTTGAAGTATGTGAAACAAACAAACTACTAAACTAGCCTCATAAAGTGGAATTAGAGGTCAAAGAAGCTAAGAAGTGGTCAAAGAAGTGCGCGCTCTCTGATTTGATATGCTATTTCTCACTCTCTTCATTCAACAAGACTTCAAATACAGCACAGAAGAGTGCTTGCGAGTGGATTATTCTACTAAAAATGATAATTGATTTTGTGAGTGGATTATACTTGACACTAACAAGGAAAGAAATTGAAGAAATCAACGTGATTTGCGGTTAAATTGCCGCTACATTTGAACATTGATCACGTATTGTTTTTGTTTCGTGGTCTTTAAAGTGTGCTCGTTGTTCAACAAGTGTTAAGTAATTCATGGTAATAAAGTAATAATGAAAATTTATAAAATGTAGCGGTAGAAGCTGAATATGGACCGCATCATTCAATAAAAATCTTATTGGTTAAAATATGGATTTTTCGACGAAACAAAACTTGTTGTACATTAGAACTGATACAAGTTATGGTCATGAAGTCTTACTGTATTGCCTTATCGCTATGGCACTGGATCTCCTTCTGACCACTTCTCATAAATCTTAAAGCCAGAATAACAATCACAAATATGTGGTCACACAAAAACCGACCAACAATAAAAGAAGCTAAAACAGATGGTATAATGGATTCTTATGGCAAAATTACACAATGATAAGTTTGATAAGCTAAAAGGCGTCGGTCATGTTCATATAATACAAGGAACATACTCAAGTAACGTCACATGCATCAAATTTCTGTTTTATCTTTCCATTATCAAGTCCTCAAAGTAGCGAAATTGTAATCAATTCCGTAATCAATGGTAATACAATGGCTGTACGATTGCGTAACAACAATAGGAAACTTGATAAAGTTGTCACAATTGCTGTGAACTGTTAGGAGTCGTTGAAGCTTTACATCAAGACTGAACATACAATTCCCGGCACTCAAGCCCAAGGTGTATGATCAATCTAAGCTAAAAACATATTCAAAATTTTCACACGCTTAGATTCTGAATGAAAAAATTAAGATGCATAAAGCCACACTGTTTTACGATGTTTCTATAGCAGCCGGCGGTCTTAATGAACTCAATACATATTATGAAGTTATGACAATTGACATAGCTACAGTTCGGAGACGCAGATGGGACACTGAAAGTCGAGTACATGAGATAATTAAAAATGGAACACTTAAGTTAACAATGTTTGCACGAAGAAACAGCGGAATACCACAGAAAGTTATGTCGCCATAGTTACAGGATAAAATTAGCGCTTTCTGAAGGAGAACACATGCTTTATATGGGAGGTTCGAGAATGGAGAGGACAGCTGACAGTTAACTAAATTACTTGGTAAGCTGATATGTTTTACAGATGCTATCCGAGGGCCTTCTAACAATACCCGGGTATTTGGATTTGATTTCTCGATGCCACAAGATGAGTTGAAATCATTTACGGTTGTAGGACATGAGGTGGCACCTTGCCACTATTTTTTAGATCAAGTCACCTCTGAAATAGAGGTGATAGGTCCTATGTAGAGCTTCAGCTATTGGTGCCATCAAGATAAACGAAATGTCGTACAAAATTAAAAAGCACATACTCAATTATTAAAAGAACAAACTTTTATCCGCTCGACAATTTTCGTATCGGGAAAATTACAAAATGAAACTGATCAGTCGTTCAAATGTGTCATAATGCAAAATTTGATATCTTTGAGCAGCCTAATTTTGTTGTCAACCGTAATCACTGCTCAAACCCCTCCTCTCATGGCTGAATACAACTTTATCGACTCCTCCAGAGTCCAGACCTTGTTTTAATAGCATAATTTTTCAAGTTCAAGGGAATCCAAAATTTATAAAACTTTTCACAGTACAGGGATTTTGCTAACGTATTAATATCACAATGATTATTGAGATTCCAACTCCTCTATAATTCGCCAATTTTTAATATCCGCCTGCTGCATGTAGAGAGGACACTACATACTTACACAACTTCGTTAAATATTGAAGAATCAAATTCAGAGATCAAGTCCAACTGCTTAATAACAAGTTTTTTTCTCCTACACTTTTCATTGAGAGATGAGCCACAACCTCACATGATATGCAGCTGCCAGCTAGGGTTTGAATATTCATTTTTAACTCGCCACATTACAATAACATGACACGCATTACACCGTAACGTTAAAGGAACGTTGCGGGAACGCAAGTAAAACTGGACCACAGACCAGCGTGATCTCGTGCTGCGTTTTAAAGTTTTGAGGCACGTACTATCAGTATCACTTAGTCTCACTAATCAATAAAGTCATATGACTCATATTTCACTGAGAAATTATGGTGCTAATGCCTTAATGCCTTCATCGGCGTAAGAAAGTGGTACTAATAGCTTTATTGACTCAGCTATACCTCGTACCAAAAATAAATCCTTGTGTTTTACAATAAAAAACAACAATACAACAACTTGGTTAAAATGTATTCTGGGGTGAATGACTCGACCAGTAACCCAAGCACTGGAGGGAGATGATACGACATAAACGGGAGTCAGTCGATGAAAGGTCACTCGAAATATTGAATAGATCATAAATTAGTACAAGTGAGTAAATTTGTTAATAATTGTAGTCAAAGACTGAATGTATTAACATTTATCAAGCATCGAATCATCACACCATCAGATAGCAGGGTGGCGCAGTGGAAGCGTGCTGGGCCCATAACCCAGAGGTCGGTGGATCGAAACCACTTCCTGCTAACCAATCTTTTGCACCTTGTCTAGCACCAGTGAATGACGCAACGTTTATTCCTAAACTTCTTCAGTGAAATGGGTATTGTACTTGTCATGATGTCGACGGTGCACTGTATACTAAAAGTTTTTGTATATATATTTGGTTGGATTATAATGTGTGAACCGATTACCCATATTTCATACTTTATAAACCAACTATATATTATACAACAACTTTTAATGTTGTGATTTAGATTTGAGGGTGGGTTGCCGGGCTGGAGCTAGTGAAGTTTGCAGATATCCTGTCAACCATCATTTTTGCTGTGGCACATGCGTCAATGATGATTCTTAGTAAATTAGAGTTGATGACGGTGATAGGATTTCCTTCTACCCCTAATTACTGCAATTAGTAAATTAGAAGCTCCCAACTTTAGCGTCTCCTTATTAAAGTTTCCATGTGTTCAATAATCCTAAAATTTCAAAGAAATTATGAGATGGGAAGGACAACGTTTGGTATGCTTGATATCAGTTGATCAGTTGATCAGATCAAATTGGTCACGCATGGTCATATTACATCTGTTTAAGATAAAATGGTGTTGACCGTCTCAATAAGTGGTTACATTCCTTAAGTTCCTAATAACCACATATAACACGTACTGATGAGAGTGGTTTGTGTTTTGGGCAGCTGCCAAAATCTGGAAAATAAAATCTGTCGATTGTAGGACTGAATCCCTACCGGACGGAATCACTACCACCCAAATATCACTACTGGTAGTGATTTAGTCCGGTAGTGATTCAGTCCGAAAATATACCTCAATCCCTACCAGTTGATCTTAGTTCACTAGTTCTAATATCATGACGTGATCTGAGCCGGGGCTCTCATGGAGTGCTTGCTATGGGGCCTGTCAGACATGTGATCCACAGACTTACGTACGCAACGAGGAGCCCTAACGAGAACTGGTTCGGATCAAGTCATCCATAATGACCTGCTATACGACAATACAGTGATGTGAACCTTCACATGCTCGGTATCTCAATCAGCTAGCGGGAATAATATATAAACCCGCAACGCCTGTGTTTATCTTATACCACTATGTCTTCCTCATCCATCGAGTTTATTCCTGGCAGAAAGAAAGGCAGCCGCAACGTCCTCTACGATGGTTACCTCTACCACCTTAACAGAAAGAGGGAAGACAAGACCTACTGGAAGTGCAACAAGTGCAAGTCCCGCCTGATCCTTGTCCAGGACACCTTCTGTTCTGCTACCCCTCATGACCACGAATCTCAACCAGCACAAATTGCAGCCCACCGCTCCAAGTCCAAAATGAAGACCCTCGCAGCTACTACTGAGAACTCAACTAAGCAGAACTCAACTAAGCAGATTGTTGCACCTCCACCCCTCCTCTCTTCAGGCACGACTCCTGGAATCACCACGAAGCGTCCAGTAACATCGCAGAGGGTTGGAACAGCGGCTTCGCCTCCTTGATCAACTGTCACAACCCTTCCATCTGGAAGTTCTTAGAGTGCATCAAGAGGGAGCAGGCTTTGACAGACATGAAGATCACCAACATCCTCACCAGAAGACCCTTCAAGAGAGTAGCAAAGTGGGAGAAGTTTGACCTGGAGATGCAACGTATTGTTGATGATTATGATAACTTTGGGGATGTTACCGAGTTTCTGAAAGCTGTTGGATCTAAGATTTTGGGTTAATGCTTTAATGTTTACTTATTATTGTGTGATTTAAATTACTGTATCAGTATATTATCTATTATTCTTTGACCAAATTTCTGCTTAGTCAATTATCACGAAAAATCTAATAATAATTAACAAAAAATAAAATAATTAACTAATGAAATACGAATAATTATGCCTTTATTGCAAAGTTCAGTAGGGATCACATCAAAGTGGTTAGGTCTTTAGATATTAGCGGTATTGATTTAGTCCGGTAGTGATTCAGTCCGAAAATATACCTCAATCCCTACCAATAGTGATTGGTAGTGATTCAGTCCGTTAGGGATTCAGTCATGTAGTGATTCGGTCCGTTCACCAAATCTGTCAGCAAATTAAAATGTTCTTTTGTTAAAAGTTTTATCAACTTTAGGCTCATGTCTCATATGAATTACATATTCATGATTATGCATACCCTCTCAAAGCTACAAATATTTATCCGGGAAACCTGTTAAATCTCGAAAACATTTCAACAAGATATCACGTTCTCATCTGTAATTCTGTATGCAGGCTCGGACTAGACATCTATTATGTTCTCCGACCCTACTACTCTATAACGTCTTTACTGTTCTTACAAAAGTTTAACGACATGCTCACTGCTCAGCTTCCTGACATCTTCGAGCATGATTACAACACAAACCCAAGAACCAAAACATGCTCTGACTCATGCTCTCAAACCACGTTTCTGACTTGGCGTCTGGACAGCATGTCAAATCACCGCTGTTAACTCCCACCCGCGCCTTCTGCCAGCTAGAAAAATACTTGTAAACAAAACTATTTATACATTCTCTCCACAGTATGCACAACGGTATTCCACAGCAACAGTTGGTGATAGTGCAGAGTACCGCAGAATCTCTTTGCTCAGGCTGTACATAGGCGCTGTCATCACTCCAAGTGTGTTGTTAAAAGTTCTAAAATTCTGCTTCTACAACTGTGTACACAGCAACCTGTTTTTCTGCACATATCAGCAGCTGGCCGGTATTGTTTTACAGTACTTTTTGTAATTATTACCTGCCAAAATAGTACGAATATAGTTTTGAGTGTCTGTGATTTTTGTTATATATCCGGTTTGGTTGACGTCCAATTGTTTATTGCATAACTGTTGTAATTAAGTTTATTACCATGGTAATTCTTTCATAATTATCAGCCTAACTTAAGCTTATTTCAACTAACTCCATTTCTAGTTTTGTGTTTTAATTGTAATAAACAACGACCTAAACCAACTCCGGTGTTTTAAGAGGAAATGGCTCTAGAATTCCTGAAAAACAAGATAGTAATCCTGATGAGGGAGCGAGACAAGGCCATCAACAGAGCAGACGAGTTTCAAGATACTGTACAGGCTGCAACCGAAATGGTTACTAAGGTACGACGTCAAGCTATGATCAATGAGTTAATGAACAATAATTTATTGTTCATCGATCGTTTATGATTTGTTTCGGAGTCACTAATATGATGAGATTTTTTATATCTGAACATTTTTCTGATTAATTAGGCTACAAGTAGAAAGACTCAATGTGCTGCACTCACACACGTGACACGGTGACATAGTATTTGCAAATAGTTTCACTTATAGTTATAATGGGTCAAAAATACCAGGCTGGAAATTCAATGTTTACCTTTCAGTGATGCACGCCGCCGCGTTTTGCCTAAATCAGCGGCGGCGAGGCCAAAACTTGCGGCGGCGGCGTTCGGCGGCGTGGCCCCTTGGCACTTGTAGTTGTGACTCAGTCGAACATAAATGCAGTCTCTGTACGGGATGGGCCTCAATATACCGCTTTGGCTTCCAGTTTCAGTTTATGGTTGATTTATTTTAACGTGAATGGTTAAGAAAATGCCCAAGCATGCACTAAAATGCACAATAAAATTGCATGTGTCACGTTTATAGCTGATGACGTCAGACATGGCGTGGCGGCGTGAGCAAAAAATCGGTGGCGGCGGCGTTTAAACACTATCCTTATATATTATTAATATTATGCACCGAAAATAATGTTTCACCGTTGCAGCTTGAAGCAGATAAACGAGATTTAGAAAACAGACTGGAGCTATCAGACGCAGAGATAGATAAACTTCACGAATGGAAGGAGCAGATACTGGATGAAAAACAGGATCTTGAGGTTTGCTCAATCTGCGGTTTATTGTTAAATTTTAGTTAGGACGTTATTAGCGAAGGCGCTCATTGAGTGATAATTGATTAGGCAAATGCAAATCAAACACCATATTGAAATTATCTGATCAGGTTGAAGTTGAAAAGTTGAGACGAGAGAATGACAGTTTACAAAACGCGATTGATACATTTGAAGTGGCATTTGAGTACAAAGACACGGAAATAGACGAATTGGCGAAACAAATAGAAGAGTTTAATCAAGAAATGGATGACCTAGCATCGTAGATCGGGTGAATTGCAGAGGCAAATAGAAGATTTCAACCAAGAAATGGATAACCAGGCTTCGTAAATCGGATGGGAAAACGACGAACAAATTTCGAAGATTTTAGGTATATATTTATTCCAAGGAATGGGCGAAATTTCCGACAAACAAGAACATTGTCGCAGAGGGATAATGGAACGCAAAATTCCTATAATTTGAACTCAAATATAGAAACATTCAAGTACCACACTTGGGACTAAGTTTAAATTATTAAGGTGTATAATGATACCATGAATTGTGATATTGAAACATATTCTTAATGTTTTGATTTTAACATTGAACAACAATTTACTTTAAACAAGTATCTGGTAAACATACTGTACATAGCGTAAAACATATTTTTGTATCCTAAAAAGTGCCAAATTATTTTTACTCCAACCCCATTACCAAAACAAATTATTATAATTCACAAATGTTATTATCTAGTTCATTCCAGAAATCTTGCTAAATTTTTGAGTTTGTCAATACAATCTCTAGTACATTCTTCCTGATCCACAACCACCTTGAGACCCCATATTCTGAGCGAACGATCCACCTCTTGCAGCTCCATAGGATGCTCCAGCGTATGTAGCGCTTGCTCCGTTAAACGCACCACCATTAACAGCACCACCCGAAGAACCAGAAACTCCCGCATTGACCTCAACAATCTTATAATGCTGACGAAGCGCCCTTCTGTGCCCGTTAAGTTTAACAGAGAATCCACCCTTGCTCTTCCTGGTCCTAATGTGTCTACCAGGAACAGTGGAAATCTGTCCGTTTATTGTTATCTGGTAGAACTTGTTGGAACTAATCTGGACATTCCCGACCGTAAATTGAGGTACCGCAGGTCGAGGTGGTCGGTTCATCATAGTCTTAGGCAAAACAACCATTGGTCGGCGATCACTCTTCAGCGGAGCATATGTTGGTTTAACTGAACCATCGGGATTAAACATAACATATAGTGGGAAATGCCTGACATCACGAGGAAGTTGCTGTCTGGATAAGAAAGTAGGAGCGTAGTTAGAACCAGGGTAAGGAAGTTTGTTTGGAGCATCAGCTTCATCATCAGATGAACTGGAACCATCTGAATCTGTAGGAACGGATGATCCCGGTGAGCCAAACACAGACACAGGAGATCCTGGGGACATTGTGTACATATTTGGACCAAAACCAGGAACACCTGCAGCACCAAGGCCACTTGGAGCACCTGGAGCAACAGGAACAGAACCTGAACCTCCGTAAACACCACCTGGACCGTATGGAAAAGCAAATGTTCCGCCAAATTGTCCACCATTTGGACCACTACAAACACTAGGAGCTCCTCCACTGACTCCTGATGGTCCATAAGGACTACCAGCTCCTCCAGTAACTCCTCCAGCACCTCCAGCACCTCCAGCGCCTCCAGCGCCTCCAGAGGTAAAACCAATATCGATATCAATGCCACCAGCAGATGGACCACTGGGACCACTTGGACCGGCTGCTCCTCCAGCAGCAGATACACTGAAGACGACATGAATAGATCCACCATAAGACACCAAGACACTGCTAGGGTTGCTAGGATTTGGTGAGATTAGAGATCCAGATACCTCAACTGAAGCACCACTTGGTAGCACGATCAGGTAGGATCCGCTTGGAGTGATAAATATACCGTTGAACATGAATCCTCCACTTGGACCATGTGCTGCTCCTCCACTGACTCCTGATGGTCCATAAGGACTACTAGCTCCTCCAGTAACTCCTCCAGCACCTCCAGCACCTCCAGCGCCTCCAGAGGTAAAACCAATATCGATATCAATGCCACCAGCAGATGAACCACTGGGACCACTTGGACCGGCTGCTCCTCCAGCAGCAGATACACTGAAGACGACATGAATAGATCCACCATAAGACACCAAGACACTGCTAGGGTTGCTAGGATTTGGTGAGATTAGAGATCCAGATACCACAACTGAAGCACCACTTGGTAGCACGATCAGGTAGGATCCGCTTGGAGTGATAAATAAACCGTTGAACATGAATCCTCCACTTGGACCATGTGCTGCTCCTCCACTGACTCCTGATGGTCCATAAGGACTACTAGCTCCTCCAGTAACTCCTCCAGCACCTCCAGCGCCTCCAGCGCCTCCAGAGGTAAAACCAATATCGATATCAATGCCACCAGCAGATGGACCACTTGGACCACTTGGACCGGCTGCTCCTCCAGCAGCAGATACACTGAAGACAACATGAATAGATCCACCATAAGACACCAAGACACTGCTAGGGTTGCTAGGATTTGGTGAGATTAGAGATCCAGATACCACAACTGAAGCACCACTTGGTAGCACGATCAAGTAGGATCCGCTTGGAGCGATAAATGTACCGTTGAACATGAATCCTCCACTTGGACCCTGTGCTGCTCCTCCACTGACTCCTGATGGTCCATAAGGACTACCAGCTCCTCTAGTAACTCCTCCAGCACCTCCAGCACCTCCAGCGCCTCCAGCGCCTCCAGAGGTAAAACCAATATCGATATCAATGCCACCAGCAGATGAACCACTGGGACCACTTGGACCGGCTGCTCCTCCAGCAGCAGATACACTGAAGACGACATGAATAGATCCACCATAAGACACCAAGACACTGCTAGGGTTGCTAGGATTTGGTGAGATTAGAGATCCAGATACCTCAACTGAAGCACCACTTGGTAGCACGATCAGGTAGGATCCGCTTGGAGTGATAAATATACCGTTGAACATGAATCCTCCACTTGGACCATGTGCTGCTCCTCCACTGACTCCTGATGGTCCATAAGGACTACTAGCTCCTCCAGTAACTCCTCCAGCACCTCCAGCACCTCCAGCGCCTCCAGAGGTAAAACCAATATCGATATCAATGCCACCAGCAGATGAACCACTGGGACCACTTGGACCGGCTGCTCCTCCAGCAGCAGATACACTGAAGACGACATGAATAGATCCACCATAAGACACCAAGACACTGCTAGGGTTGCTAGGATTTGGTGAGATTAGAGATCCAGATACCACAACTGAAGCACCACTTGGTAGCACGATCAGGTAGGATCCGCTTGGAGTGATAAATATACAGTTGAACATGAATCCTCCACTTGGACCATGTGCTGCTCCTCCACTGACTCCTGATGGTCCATAAGGACTACTAGCTCCTCCAGTAACTCCTCCAGCACCTCCAGCGCCTCCAGCGCCTCCAGAGGTAAAACCAATATCGATATCAATGCCACCAGCAGATGGACCACTGGGACCACTTGGACCGGCTGCTCCTCCAGCAGCAGATACACTGAAGACAACATGAATAGATCCACCATAAGATACCAAGACACTGCTAGGGTTGCTAGGATTTGGTGAGATTAGAGATCCAGATACCACAACTGAAGCACCACTTGGTAGCACGATCAGGTAGGATCCGCTTGGAGCGATAAATGTACCGTTGAACATGAATCCTCCACTTGGACCCTGTGCTGCTCCTCCACTGACTCCTGATGGTCCATAAGGACTACCAGCTCCTCCAGTAACTCCTCCAGCACCTCCAGCACCTCCAGCGCCTCCAGAGGTAAAACCAATATCGATATCAATGCCACCAGCAGATGGACCACTTGGACCACTTGGACCGGCTGCTCCTCCAGCAGCAGATACACTGAAGACAACATGAATAGATCCACCATAAGACACCAAGACACTGCTAGGGTTGCTAGGATTTGGTGAGATTAGAGATCCAGATACCACAACTGAAGCACCACTTGGTAGCACGATCAAGTAGGATCCGCTTGGAGCGATAAATGTACCGTTGAACATGAATCCTCCACTTGGACCCTGTGCTGCTCCTCCACTGACTCCTGATGGTCCATAGGGACAACCAGCTCCTCCAGTAACTCCACCAGCACCTCCAGCACCTCCAGCACCTCCAGCGCCTCCAGAGGTATAACTGATATCGATATCAATGCCACCAGCAGATGGACCACTTGGACCGGCTGCTCCTCCAGCAGCAGATACACTGAAGACAACTTGAATAGATCCACCATAAGACACCATGACACTGCTAGGGTTGCTAGGATTTGGTGAGATTGCAGATCCAGATACTATAACTGAAGCACCACTTGGTAGCACGATCAAGTAGGATCCGCTTGGAGCGATAAATGTACCGTTGAACATGAATCCTCCACTTGGACCCTGTGCTGCTCCTCCACTGACTCCTGATGGTCCATAAGGACTACCAGCTCCTCCAGTAACTCCTCCAGCACCTCCAGCACCTCCAGCACCTCCAGCGCCTCCAGAGGTAAAACCAATATCGATATCAATGCCACCAGCAGATGGACCACTGCGACCACTTGGACCGGCTGCTCCTCCAGCAGCAGATACACTGAAGACAACATGAATAGATCCACCATAAGACACCAAGACACTGCTAGGGTTGCTAGGATTTGGTGAGATTGCAGATCCAGATACTATAACTGAAGCACCACTTGGTAGCACGATCAAGTAGGATCCGCTTGGAGCGATAAATGTACCGTTGAACATGAATCCTCCACTTGGACCCTGTGCTGCTCCTCCACTGACTCCTGATGGTCCATAGGGTCTACTAGCTCCTCCAGTAACTCCTCCAGCACCTCCAGCACCTCCAGCGCCTCCAGAGGTAAAACCAATATCGATATCAATGCCACCAGCAGATGGACCACTGGGACCGGCTGCTCCTCCAGCAGCAGATACACTGAAGACAACTTGAATAGATCCACCATAAGACACCAAGACACTGCTAGGGTTGCTAGGATTTGGTGAGATTGCAGATCCAGATACTACAACTGAAGCACCACTTGGTAGCACGATCAAGTAGGATCCGCTTGGAGCGATAAATGTACCGTTGAACATGAATCCTCCACTTGGACCCTGTGCTACTCCTCCACTGACTCCTGATGGTCCATAGGGACTACCAGCTCCTCCAGTAACTCCTCCAGCACCTCCAGCACCTCCAGCGCCTCCAGAGGTAAAACCAATATCGATATCAATGCCACCAGCAGATGGACCACTGGGACCACTTGGACCGGCTGCTCCTCCAGCAGCAGATACACTGAAGACAACTTGAATAGATCCACCATAAGACACCAAGACACTGCTAGGGTTGCTAGGATTTGGTGAGATTGCAGATCCAGATACTACAACTGAAGCACCACTTGGTAGCACGATCAAGTAGGATCCGCTTGGAGCGATAAATGTACCGTTGAACATGAATCCTCCACTTGGACCCTGTATTGCTCCTCCACTGACTCCTGATGGTCCATAAGGACTACCAGTTCCTCCAGTAACTCCTCCAGCACCTGCAGCACCTCCAGCGCCTCCAGCGCCTCCAGAGGTAAAACCAATATCGATATCAATACCACCAGCAGATGGACCACTGGGACCACTTGGACCGGCTGCTCCTCCAGCAGCAGATACACTGAAGACAACATGAATAGATCCACCATAAGACACCAAGACACTGCTAGGGTTGCTAGGATTTGGTGAGATTAGAGATCCAGATACCACAACTGAAGCACCACTTGGTAGCACGATCAGGTAGGATCCGCTTGGAGCGATAAATGTACCGTTGAACATGAATCCTCCACTTTGACCCTGTGCTGCTCCTCCACTGACTCCTGATGGTCCATAGGGACTACCAGCTCCTCCAGTAACTCCACCAGCACCTCCAACACCTCCAGCTCCTCCAGAGGTATAACTAACATCGATATCAATGCCACCAGCAGATGGACCACTTGGACCGGCTGCTCCTCCAGCAGCAGATACACTGAAGACAACTTGAATAGATCCACCATAAGACACCAAGACACTGCTAGGGTTGCTAAGATTTGGTGAGATTAGAGATCCAGATACCACAACTGAAGCACCACTTGGTAGCACGATCAGGTAGGATCCGCTTGGAGCGATAAATGTACCGTTGAACATGAATCCTCCACTTGGACCCTGTGCTGCTCCTCCACTGACTCTTGATGGTCCATAAGGACTACCAGCTCCTCCAGTAACTCCTCCAGGACCATAAGAACCCCCAGAGGTTATTCCGATATCGATACCATTTAGGCCTGCTGTTCCACCAAAGCTCTCATTTTGACCACGCCCAGGGGTTTTTGGAACAAGTGAAACTATTGACGGCTGATAAGTTCCCTGAGGCCCTATCACTTGACCATACTGAGGTCCACTGCTTCCTGGTGTTCCGCTGGGTGCATTAGGGACAAGTATGTGACTGTCTCCTATATTCTGAGGTAAACTAGGACCGAGTTTTGATGCATCCAATGCACCGTCCGGAATGAGTATAATTGCTTGTGGTAGAATGCCTAAAAAAGCAGGGAGGATACCTCCGTCAGGTCCAAAGATCTGATTTGCATGGTATGCAGAATAATGGGACAGATTAATGCTGGAAGTAGGGATAACAGTGAAACCTGAACCTCCGGTCCCCATGCTGAGGGAAATACCGGCCGAGGCTCCAGAAAACCCGCCGCCATTGGCAGAGACCCCACCTCCATTAAATGCTGCTCCTCCTGTACCGGCAGAGTAACCGCCTGAAGCTGAAGCAGCTCCATAGAAAGCACTGTTCGACTGGCAAACCATCTTATCGGTTTACAAAAGTCAAATCAGATTGAATAATATAGGAACGATAAACTCGACAAGTTTATCAAAATTATTAGGGAGTAAAGTGATTAATGATTTCTCGAAAGTTTTGATTTTATTACCGATTATGAGCATTATATCACTGCTTCCGGGTTCTTTAAATAGGGATTTTATTTGCGCTAGATATTTAACCATTTTAAGACGATGTATTCACTATCCAAGTTAAATAACCATATGTACTTACAAAATAACTCGTCTGTTCGTTTAGCCTGAAGTTGAACGATTCGACACCCAATTTTATCAAATCTATCAGGCACGAACCTTATTTAACTCCTTCTGTTCCCCCGAGAAGAGAAACTTTGGAAAAGCTTAATTAACCTTACTTGGATTACATATTATTTCAATGCCAAGTAAGCAAATAACGTGAAGGTAATCTAATTTCGCTAATCTTAATAACAAATGAAACTTGGTTTATTTTTAGTGAAATTGAATTCATTATGCAGATACTCTATGATGTAGATTATAACAAATACTAGTGTAACCCGGCCTTCGGCCGGGATTTCACTGCCGCAGTTAAAAAAGGGTAGGAGCATTTACCCGCTGAATCAAAACCCGCATTAGCATTGATTAGGTGAGCAATTCTATTCGGAGTACCCTAACGTATCCAATAGTATTTAACATAATCGCATAATCAGTTCTTTCTCGTGGAAAATTAAATCATTATAAGGCACCACATTCCATGATCATAAGGTCCGTACACCGACTATTATAATTATATACATCTCATCACTCCCGTCTTGAACCGCTTTCCATTTTTATTTAAATCGTTTTAGAAATTAACCCTCATTAACTCCGCACCACACCCTCCTATTATATTTGAAAACATGCATTACATTGTCGTATGAAAGTATGAACTCTCTCTCAACAGTCCAAACAGACCGCAATGAGCACTTCCTCCCCTAATAAGCTTATAGTAATAGTATTACATGACAGTGTAATTATGATATATGTACCAACGCTACATAATATGCAGTAATGGGAAAGAGAGCGAGGAGGGAGAAAATGTGAGCCATTTTATGTAACATTTGTGGTACAAAACCATTAATTAAACCACTTACCACCGACCGATTTAAAAAACCTTCACCATTTGGCTTCCTTATAGTTTTCTCGGCACTATACCGAAAAAACCAGTCCCATAACTCTTACCGTTTTCTTGATTAAGCCGCTCGGAAATTACACGCGCACACACAGACAAACACACATTCTGAGATTATTATTGAGATGCCAACATCTTTTACTGAAAGAATTCGAGCGTGCTAAATCACTCTAGAGTCAATCTTCGAGATTGTTCTAAAAGGGCCCCCGACAGTTGAACTTGAAACCAACTTCAATAGGTGTATTTTCGGACGCAAAAAGAATTTTTAAATGTGAAATTCGTTAAATTTAATTAACTCAAATACACTTTTCCCCACTACGCAAACTTTTAGCTATCCATGTGCCATTGTGATTTACCATTGGTTGACGATGTCAGTACCCTTCCAGATCGTTGCTCTGCGAATAAACAGAGCAAAGATCTCGTCGATCTTCAATGCGAAGTAAAAATGATAATTTACGCGGCGCGTCGAAGCGGCGAAGTCCTCCAAAATTTACCAGTACCACCTGAATGACGACCGTTTCTCATTTATATAACAAAAACTATGACGAAAATTTCCTACAATTTTGAGGGTGCTTATAAATTAGACCTGTTTGGAACTAAATATAAAATACATCAAAAATAACAAAATATCTTATTTTGTCAACTGTAGAACTTAAAAGCCTATTATATAGCCTATATATATAGATGACGCATCATTTTTAAACAACCAAAAAATATTTCCGCTAGAATACTTAAATTCTGAATTGTCGTTAGTTGTCTCTTGAACTGAAGTAATGAAAATGAGTGTTCCCTTATTCAGCTCCAGCAAATAACACATCATTTCAGTATAAGTTTCAAAAAATTAATTAAAAGTTAGTATTATAATGACTATAGTTATACTCAGATGTGTTTTTAAAACTGCTCGGAAATCACACGATTTTTACCGAATGTTCCACGAGGCTCTTTATACAGATTGATTTGATCGAAAGCCCCTCGAAAGGGGATTGTCTCTAATGGACTAATTTATTGTTTACATCATAATCAGTTATCATAAATCGTAACAAACTGCAATTAATGGAATATAAATTTTGAATTCGCTATTTAATGGCACGCAGTAAAATGTAAAAAGTCAAGCAAAAGTTTTGTTCACAAATCACATTTACAAATTTGACCAAAACCCATAATCATGGGTAGAGTGTACCGCTGCCAGTGTCTCTCTTTTCCAAACAAAAGGAAATGATATTAATTTGAGGAACAGTCCGCTAATGCAAATTGATACCGAGAATGAAATCGGTCGCTCGCTTTTTCAAATCAATAAGCTTTATTACAATTCGTGAGCCGTGATCGAATGGAAAAAGCGAGCGACCGATTTCATTCTCGGTATCAATTTGCATTAGCGGACTGTTCCTCAAATTAATATCATTTCCTTTTGTTTGGAAAAGAGAGACACTGGCAGCGGTACACTCTACCCATGATTATGGGTTTTGGTCAAATATCATCTCTTTTTGATTATAATGTCAGGATAATTTACACAGCTAGTCGAAACTTCATTAACAAGGAGGTAATTTCGACGATTTCGAAATTCTGCCTTTGAAAACGTTTCCTTGTGTTTAGTTAGGTATATCTGTCGATAACCGACTGAATATGGCACTTTTTACTCATTCAAGTTGGCATTAAATTCATAGATAATGCCATTTAAATATCGTGGAAAGCAGAATATGTTCGAAATCACGAATGAGCAAAATTCTCACCTTTCGCACGTGCAAACTTTGAGCGGACGTTGCGTGCGCATACAATATTGAATCACCGTAAATTTTTGCATAGTGGTATTTAATATATAGTTTGATAAGCATGCAATGTTTCAGAAGATTTCAAAAAGAACTTGGATCACAACGGGACTCCAAAGTTGATAAAAATCGTGAAAATCAAAATTTTTAGTGATTTTAGCTATTTTAAATCAATTTGGGCGTGTCCCCACGTGTGCAACTTTTCGATTTTTAACTTTAAAACTAGCCTATAACACAATTTACACCTTTAAGAAGCAAAATTGAGCTCCACAACCCAAGGGATAGCCCAACACCAGAGAATACTAATTCACAACTTTTGTGTTTTTATAAAATTATTCTTCAAAAAAGCACTAACTTCAATAGCAAATATCTTTATGAAGGAGTAAGGTAGGAAACTTTTCCGGTAGATTTTTAGAATGCTTGAACAATTATCTAAGGTGAAAATGTCCTCAGATTTTGAATAAAATTACTCTTTAATGGTGTAAAATCGATTTGAAAAGTTGTTGTTTTGTCAAAAATCAAGTTTTAAAAACACTTAAATTGATGACGTCATCAAGTGATGACCTGTGGTTCAAAATGACTGTATCTTTTATACTTTTGAATCTACGGACACTTAAATGTAGGCTACAATTGACTGCAAAAAGCGTCTATACATATTATTATATATCTTCACGACAATCTGTTGTAAAACAGGGGTTCCAGAAAACCCACTTCCCGATACTCCTGAAACATGAAATTTTTTTTACTGTCGACTTGGACAAGGTCTAGACGCCCTGCAAAGTTTCAGATCTCTAACTCAATTTTAACATGGTTTTTAAGGCACCTGAATATGGCGATTTTGGGTTTTTTACCTAATTTCGTATAACATGCTGGCGCGTATTTTGCGCAAATTTCTTAAAAACCTCCATATAACTATTTCTTATTCCTGTCATCTTTAACATTGAATTAGAATGTTTTGAACTTAAATGTACCTGCTGAACTACTTTCGAAAAAGTCTTAATGCCTGGAAAACAATAAAGGGGATATAATAGTATAGGGGGTAAATAGTATTGTGAATATAAGGGCGACGGTAATGCTTGCCAGCATTGTGATACAATGGCCGGTTTTAGTTTCAAATTAATTTAACTGTATGAAAAACAGATTATTTTAAAATTACAGATTATAAACATAGCATTGATTTGGTTTGGTAAAAATAGTGTGATAGGAATTAAAAAACAAATTAGAAACTCAATTCTGGACGTTGGATTTAGCCCCAATTAGCAGCAAAAACGATTACGAATTTCTATTTCAATTAGATCTACGGAGGCCGCTGATTTCGTGGATGAGAAATTTACTCGTGGACCACTCATTTACATTATCAACCCCCTTCTGCAGCCTCTGTATTTATCTAAATCTTTTCAAACAATACATAATTATACAGAAATGGACGCTTCTAAAAAACCCAGATATAAAAGAAGAAAACCAATATAGCCCAAACATCCAGTAGCCCAGTATATCAAAACCCAAAATATGTATTGAAAGACGGGTCACCAAAACACGAGAGTGTGCAGTATTGAATACCGCACCCGCAATAACATTGGCCCCTTGCAAAAAGATAATTAATCAATGAATCAAAACATATAATATTGTATCTATAGAAAATATAAAACTCTCAAGGCTCCTTCTCCGAGCTAACGACTCTAAAGTTCCTGATTACGTGAACTCCGTCCGGCTCTGCTGTCCTTTTGTTGAGCAGTTGGTCGACAACTTTCTTGTAGGCTATTCTGTCTGCAGCTGATCTATCGGGAGTAATGTAAACTGAACTAAAAGATGGTACGACTACGAACTTGATCTGAGCTTGACATGCAATCAAAGTTTTCTATTTTTATCTTCTTGATATACATCTGCATCTAGAATACCGGGGTCCGAGTAGAACGTTACCAGCGATA